CTCATTACCATGAGTACCCACGTATGGCTGCAGCTGCCAGAGATTATTTGGCTATACCAGCATCTGGGGTATCAGTCGAAAGACTGTTCAGTGGGGGAAGAGATCTCTTAGGAGTGCGGAGGAGCTCAATGAGTGCAGAGACTATGAGGCGTCTTATGATGCTGCGAGATACATGGAAATAGCTTCAGAGATTTACGAATAATTACGAATAATTACGAATAATGCGAATATTATTCGTACGAATATTAGTAAGCGGAAATTCTAAATTTTATTCGTATTCGACTACGAATATTCGTACGAATATTCGTAATCGAATATTCGTGTCCAGCCCTACTCCCTACATTTCCCAAGCTCTTTGTTTTGTTGTTTAACTTCTTCTTGATATTCATCATGATTCTTCAATTCCCACCTGCTTCCCTCACACTATCTGCCCTCATGATGGTTAATGAAGGGCACTTGACAAAGTGCAAGTCTCTTACAGAAGACTGACAAACTACGGAAAATGAACGTCAGGCAATGCGTACCGCTTCCCAAGTAAGTCAACTTGTCTTCAATAAACATCCCATGCTTTAAAGCTGATTCCCCTAAAAGTGCAAGCAGCTCTAACAGCTCGTTATTCTGACAGCATTTTGGGAGCGAACCACGAACTCAGATTGGTCACTCATGCTGTAAATCTCGCCAATAATTTCAGCCATCAATTTCATCAAAAGGCACACCTATGTCGGTTCGATACTCGCGAACGCGCAAAATCCGGCAGTACAAACGATGTTCAAAATGACAAAAATGAAACTGAAACGCCCGATCAAACACCCGCTGAGAAGGCTACCGAAAAGGGTTCCGAAAAGCCCACACAGGGCTCTGAAACCCTACCTTCAGCCCAAGACATACCTATCTGAAATATGTCATTCGATATTGACTTCGATGCCTTCCGTGACCTGGACAACATCATTTCGAAGAGCAGTGATCTTGAGGACCCCTGAGAGAGCATCATGGAATGAGTGAAGATACTGTATATTCAGTCAGGTAGTATAGAGCTAGGAAGTTTGAACACTACTATCCTTTCCATTGCATTCAAGCAGCAGTCCAGCAAATGGCCCGAAATGACACAGAACTACATGAGTCGCTTCATAGTGGTTGTCCATCGCTTCATGGTAACATCATTAAATTAGCTTTGTAGTAGTTAACGAGCTTGTCCGATCTGAGCTCTAATCACACATTCTGGAGTTGGTTCTTGACCGGTACAGGACTGCGATGGACCACGCCATGTTCCTGGTCTCTATCGAACGGGGAAGACCCCTTACATGGTAAACCACGACTTAAACGAGAACCTCCAAAAGGCCCGTAGTGGTCAGATGGCGCAACCCCTACGTAGTACATCTAAGGCTTTGGACCTATATCTCACCATAGAGGGGGTTTGGGCTCCTCTGAAAGACTCCTTCGACCGCATCAAAGAGATCGAGGCTACCACCACCAAGAGCAACTTGGAGCACACTAAAGAAGAGCTTCACGATATTCTCTCCACCTACTACAAGGTTGCGCGAAAGCGATTTGTCGACAATGTCTAATTGTCTATTCCCAAGCTGTGGATCACCATTTGCTTACAGGCCCTAAAACCCCTCTCGACGTGTTCAGCTAGGAGTGGGTGATTAACCTAGACTCGGATGCGTTGGATACGATTGCTGGGGAGTCATCATACACGCGAGAACGTCGGAAGGCATTGCAAAAGATGATTTTGGATCGGGAAGCCGCCATCAGGATTCTGAGACGTTGAATAGCGGCATCGAAGTCGCCAATCGAGAGGATGGCTGGTCGTGGTCTGCATTCTCAGAAACAGTCCAAAGGAAGGGTAGATCGGTGGGGGCACTCTTGACAGGGTGTACGGCGCTGATGCCGATTCTATTCCAAAAACATGGGATTGAGTTCCAAAGTTCTAGCTTTCTCATAGCACAAATTGATTCGTTTCTGTGCCTATTCTCACGGTGGCTGTGTGTGACAAGATCGTAGAAAGGATAATCGGATCCCTAGTACAATTAATACTCGATAATTAGGAGCAGTTGGTAAGGTCGCGGAAGACTGGTAGAAGTACCACGTGAAATCAAAGGTGCGACATGGGTAGCTCAAATATCGTGGACCAGATTTTGCGGCTCTTCGAGCATCTATTAATAGCTATAGATGTGCATGGAATCTGCAGTCATAATAATACTCGAGTTCTTCACAAGCCGTCCTTCCACTTTATTCATGGTCTATACATATTGCCTTGGTCTGAAAGCATCAGTTAGGGCATTCAAACAGCTGGAATCGTATTCTGAGAGGTCGTATCATTCATCAATCATCGTGCCCTGCGATGGCCAGACAAGGATTGGACTGAGGCGTAGCCGTTGGGCCCCACTGTAGTCTCCCAGAGCTGATCATGTTGCAGGACGAAAACTCATGGTTCGAATGTCGGACTGATAGTCCGTTAACTTATCGTATCTGGAAATAACCGCTCAATGCAAGATGAACAATAGTTCGGAATCGCCGAAGCATGGACGGACAAACTATCACAGCATCGCCATTGATGTACTCCGTATGAGATACCTTTCCTTTTGAGGAAGGAAACACACCCATACTGAAGAGGCGCAGCATCAAACGCTGAGCCGAATATGAACTGGCAACCAAGCAAGAGAGAATCCCGCGATGGGCATTGAAAGTAGGTTTTGGTTTCAAGCCGTTCAAGTCCGCCTTGTTGGGTCCCTGCTTATCTTGGGCATATCCAAATGAAATGCAGTGTTGACGAGAAACTGATTCGAGTACTACCGTCTCGCGAGAGCTAACCCAAGGTCCATCCAGAGCCGGAATATCAACATGCTAGGGTCCTCGGTAAGGCACATCCAAGGTGAAGAGAATTGAAAGCTGCCGTGGTCCGTGGAGAATGCAGGAGTCTATTCGCGCTGCTTTTAAGACGGCGAAATTGGACCTGCAGGACATGCGGTTCCTGGCATTTCGGCGTTCTGTTCACATCATTGGCTATGGAACAGCTTCAAGTCCTTACAGCCGAATCATGGAGGGATACCCGACGAATATTCCACACGGCGTGGGACGCTACTGATTAGCTAGGGAAAGCTAACGGGATTTACACCGGCGTCATGGTCCGGCCAAGGTTATTCACAATAGCACCACTGAGATCACAGGGAAAACCAAGAAAGGCCGATGCTCTGAAGTTTTGATACCACTGACTAAAGAGAAGCATATTCCCCAGACCAAGGCACCACGGAAATGATGAACATGGGTGATGCTCCGCCACAGGTTGCTCTCAATGGTCGGAATGATGCAGCTTGATGCCTGCCTGGGCGATTAGCACAGCCTCCAGTCACAGCAATTTGGCCTGTATTTGAGATCTGCCTCGCATCTCGACGTCTCATCTTCACAGCATCGAAGGATAGACCTCGAACTAAGCTCCACAGCAATTATTCGAACGTATGATTTCAAGAGGCCTGTGCCCTTATTCTCATGGACTTTTTGTCACCTAATTCCGCCTTACATGCCGACATCTGAGTTCCAGCCTCGTACCTTGACATCGCTCGCTCAGTCAGGCACTTCCATACACCTGGTTCCCATGCCCCGGCAGAATCACCACACTTCATAACGAGAACTCCGTTCTTAGCGACCCAAATTTCCTCCAGAGCGCGCCACTGTGGTATGAATGCACTCTCACCAGCCTATCATAGTCAATCGGTCTCAAAGAACCGGGTAACGTTGAGGCTTAGAGGCCGATCATCGAGTCGGCCTCCCCCCGGTTCCAGCAGTCAAAGGATCGCGTTCCCGCGTCTGTCCCGCGTGGACGTCATTCGATCTTTACGTCCTTGGGAAATATTCTCCAACTTGCAATTGAGGAAATCTTCAACATATTTTGCGATTTAATATTCCTATTGTTCGATTTGCTTCATTTGGCCGGGAATAGTGCCAGGTGTAACTTGCTTTGAGGGAGCACAGCGCTAATTCGGACCCTCACCTCGACATCCCGTTTCCACATCCCGCATTTCATTTGGGTTCATCCTCGGACTCATCGCGAACCTATTCCTCGCTCGAAATTTGGTGCAAGATTCCCATGAGGGTTGCCTATTTATCTCGCCATCCGAGAGTACCATCTCTATCTGGCCAGTGGATTAATTTGCCGGGACGACGAGCTCGGCACATATTCCGCGCTTCGCTGGCAAGGGGACACCTCGACTATATTAACTCTGCAACTTCGCCGCAAGAACAACACGCGTCAAAAGCGACAGCAGTCGTATAGTTCAACAACATCGTCTCAGGCGATGGCAAATAATCACAATCGCCGACAGAGCGGTAGCTCATCGTATGACTACCAGGGCCAAGCGGCCAACTCAAATATCTCACTTATGGTTCCCAACGTGAGTGTCGAACCGGGCGCGTTTCCAGATCAATCAGCAAACTACTTGCAGGATGTGGATGGCTCGGTATATTCACCCGGGACGATATTGGGGAGCAACCTTTCCCCTTCAATTGGATCTGCCCACGACCATTTGAGCCCCGAAACCTACCTCTCGGACCAACAATTCTCAGATTACAGCCAATATAATACACCCAGATTGGAGGACCAATACCTGAATATGCAGCTCCTCAACCTCAACGAAGGAGTACCCCCAGAACTTCAAACAACTTTTGGAACTCAGGACTCGACCATGGCCACAGCATTTGCGGATGTGACCGGACAATTTGCGTCCAGTGCACCATCGGAATCTCACCACATTTCACCGAGTCTCACGAATTACTCCAGTCCTGCACCGTTTCAAGATGCAGGACAGTTTGTGTCGCCTGCACAAGCCGAGAAAAGAGGGCCAGGTCTTCTTAACAAAGCGATCAATCGCCTCGACATGTCCAAAACATCCCCCGACCATCAGGCCTATAGCTCATCATTTTCCAACAGCCCGTCGGCAAGCTCTGTTGGTGTCTCACAACCTCCTGTGCAATTGATCAGTCCGATTGTGAGGGTGGAGACGGTGGATTTCAGCGGAGACGAATCGCAACCCCAATCCTTGTTAAATAGAACCCACAGCAAGCGGAGCGCAGGGGGTAAACGGTCGAACCTTCACCTCTCTCCGCATTTCCCTGTGGAGGAAGATGACGAGTCAGACGACTCGTCGTCCGAGGATGAGCCAGCCGCTACCCAAGTTCGGGCAGTCAAAAGAAACGAGGACGACGGATCGTGGGTGGTAGATGATGGCTCTCGCCAAGGCGGCCTCAACCCGAAAACCCGCAAGGAAATGCGCAACCTTTATGTTCCGTCGATCGAGGAGCAGGAATTGAGACGGGCGATGGATGAGAAGAAGGCCGAAGTGGAGGACTGGCTCGATCGCAGCGATGTGGGCAGCGAAGCAGGCGATCCTAACCCACTATCGCCCAAGGCCACCAGGAGGAGAATCGCCGGACGACGACGTGCGAAGAGTACAAACGATGCGCCGTCCAGCAACGGTTTAGGGATGACTTTGTTCCCCGGTCGCAGAGTTGATGATGGCATTCCTGGGCCAGGCGTCTACCTAGACGTTCCAAGCGAGCTTGATGATGCGGAAGATTACTCAGAGTCTGATGAGGAACCCGAATCTCCTGCGGCAGACCTCGCATCTATCAAGGATGACGTTGCATTTGCCATCGCGGAGAGGCCGCCATCGCAGGTGATGAAGCCTTGGGGTGATGCTCTGAATCTGCAGGAAGAGGAAGTACCATACCAACCTCCGACATCCAACGCGGCTATGATGAGATTCAGGCGACGCGCAAAGGATATCGAATCTGCATCTCTCGCGGCAACTATTGGCTCCCGGAGGATGAGCGAGTCCGACATTGGAAGCATATACGCTGCATCAGGAGTCATCTCCAAGCCAGCCCGAACATCAACTGACAAAATGAAATCAACCAAGCGAGAACGGCGCGGAAGTTTCCTTGAGAACATCCTCCCGAAGCGGAACAACAGCAATGTCCTGAAGCGGAAGAATAGCACTGTTGACAAGCAACCACTGAAAGACCCAGCATCTCCAACGCCAAATGAACCGGAGAAATTATCAGCTCCGAAGAGGATTGGCAGCTGGGGACGGCCGAAGTCGCCGAAGCTGGACACCAACCTAACAGTTGCGAAGAACGAACTCACGCCTGGCAGCGCCGCAGGTCATTCATCCACTCCGTGGCGGTCGGCGAAGAATGCAATCCGGCGGAACAGGAGCAAGAGCGATCTTGGTAAATCTCCAGGCCTGGCAGAATTGATGACGCAGCATGGAGGGCCACCGCTTGTCACTCTTGCATCTCCTGCAAATGAGGTTGGACTTGGTGTTCGTCGGTCTTCAACGCAACCGATGGCCAACGCAGATGACGAGGATAGCGAGAATGAAGGGGATCAAGCGAAAGATCCCGTTTTCATGGACCTCGCTATCAGGCTTGATCCAATTGTTCCGAATTTCGCTGGCTTCAAGGAACATGCTCGGAAGCTCAACCCGAGGTTGGCAGAGTATTTGTTGGAGCGGATCGCATCCGAGCAGGTCAAGCGTTATAAGAGACTGCTGGATTTCAAGGTCAAGCATCACAAAGCTGTCCAGAAAGGCAAATGTGCTGCCCACCCGTATTGCTTTGCACTTGGTGGTGAATCGAAGCTGCTTCCTCCACGAGTTGGCAATAAGGACTCGGAAACTCCTTTCGTCGGATTCCAGATCATGGCTCCTGGAATGACGGAGGAGGATATCGAGGTCACCAGCGAAGGCACAATCATCGCCGCTCAATTTCCGTCCGGCGTCCCGATTCCGCCCGTCAAGCGACTTCCGGCTGAATTCGAATGCCCGCTCTGTTTCAAGGTAAAAAAATCCAACAAGCCGTCCGACTGGACCAAACATGTCCACGAAGATGTGCAGCCGTTCACTTGCACGTTCCCGAACTGCTCGGAGCCAAAATCATTCAAGCGCAAGGCAGATTGGGTGAGGCACGAAAACGAACGGCACAGGCAGTTGGAAAGCTGGACATGCAACATCGGCGAATGCGCGCATACTTGCTACCGGAAGGACAATTTCGTCCAGCATCTCGTCCGCGAGCATAAAGTGCCTGAACCAAAGGTCCGCACTGGGCGAAATGGTGGATCCGGTGCTCGTTCGCCGGCTGTTGGACCCGAGTTCAACGGTGCGTGGCCGAGCGCAGAAGATCCTACGGACGACATTTGGGCTCTAGTAGAAAAATGCCGACATGATACCGCGAAACTGCCGAGAGAAGAAGCGTGTCGATTTTGCGGAAACATCTGCAATACGTGGAAGAAGCTCACGGTTCATCTCGCGAAGCACATGGAGCAGATCAGCATGCCGATTTTGCCGCTCATTGAGGCGAAAGAGGTTGATATCAATACAATAGTCAGCCCTATCGATGGACCTGCACCACGCGCGATGGCGCAACACCTTTCAGGACGAACACCTACCGCATCCAATGCTAGCCTCAAAGCTACCCCAGTTCCACGAGATCTTCCTACATTCCTCTACGATGAGCCAGGAGCCATTCAGTACGAAGAACCTCTCACGAACATCTCGCTCGACCCATCTGCATACTCGAACCCAATGTCCCGCAGCTCGTCGGCGAGCAACTTCCAGGTCATGCACACCTACCCTCCCCCTCAACAACCACTTAACACGTACCGGAATTCCGCTTCTCCCTTACCGCAACCGAGCAACTTCCAATTCACCACGTCACCCTCTCCAAGCACTTACAGCACCTACCCGGGTCTTCAAATGCCCATGTGCCAACCCAACGGCGGCGAAATGAGCGAGCTCACCCTCTCCCCACCCGAGGAGACGGTCGGCTATGGTGTGGGTGGGTACGGATCATCGACACCTGCTGCCCAGCAGGCGCAGCAGATGTTCTCATCGCCGATTCCGGTCGACGCGACGGGTGGTTACACGGATGAGATGGGCGACATGACTGGCATGGCGCAGTCCGCTTCATTCTATGGCCAGGCGAGCTCGGGCCCGGGGCCCGTCTGGAACGCACAGCAGCACTTGGGGATGACGAACCAAGGCTTTGGGCAGGCGCAGCGGTCACCTTATTTGAGGCCGCAAGGGCAGCCGGGCTACGGTTACCAGGGATAGGGAATGCGACGCGGATAGTGGAAAGGATCTTGATCATGAGATCGATGCCATAGAGCGGGTTTCTACCGCCACGATCAGCAAGTATGCCAATGCAGGCGGTGCAGGGGGTGACCGGTGAGAAAGATGAACAGCCGCCGGGCCGGAGGAGTTTTAGCCTTAGGCGCTAGGCATTTCATTTTGGGCAGCACGAAGATAGACTGGAGGAGATTACAGTCATTGGGGCGGTGGAAGTTCACGGATGACTTGTACGCTCGCTATTGGGGCATTTTCTTTGTTCTACGATGCTACGATTTGATACCAGTAACGTTTAAGGCCAGTGAGCGTAACGGCCAATATCTTGATCATTTACACATGTAACTTCGTGTCGGGTCCTGAATAATGAGGCCGCTTATATGACAAGGTCACAAAATCGTGGTGCAGGTGGTCTCTAATCTCAAAACGAACTGGTTATACATACACAGAGCACTCACTATCCAATCTCAATATCATTATCTTAATATGCTGAACAAACCTGTTTCACTCCCTTCGGATTCAAATTTGTTGCACAGCCCCCTGCTGTACTTGGCGAGTTCCGATACATACCTACTGCCGCATTCACGAATGAAGCACTTTGTCCGTTGGGAGGCCGCCCTTTTCGCCCTCCAGGTGGCATTCCTCCTCCCCTGTGGTTGGCTGAAAGGCCGCATCTCCACCCACATTCCCGCGAGGAGGCCGCTGACAAGAGACTCAGTCCGCATTAACTCCCAGAATCCCAATCCAACGGCTTTAGAATCCTTAACATGATTCGTCTATGGACGAATATGGGTCATTTGTACGATCCCAGGCAGATTCTACCCTGGTCACAGCGTATAGCGAATTTGTATGACGCAGATGAATGGTTACAGAAACTCCATGTGGCACTGACGCATTCGATGGAAGCGATGGACTCAATTATTGGGCCGGGCTCTTGAATAAGGTCAACGTTTAGGGATGTTCTTAAATGGTATGTCGCTTTCTCTTTCCGGCGCGGGTCTTCCGGTTGCCTTTTAAGCCTTTTGTCTCGTCCATCCCTTCGCCTGATTCCTCCTCCTGCATGCATGCCTCACTCTCTAACTGTTACCCGATGCACCCTCTGTATGGAGCCTCGAAGGCGCTCACCGGCTTGCCCTTGACTTGCTCTGTCAGCCTAGGTACCGGCGGTGAGGAAAGTTGGGACGAGAAGATAATTAACCTCATCCCCAATCCGACCTTCGACCTTTGCACGAACTGTTTCATGTCCTGAACACGGCTGGCTGGACATAACTTTGACTTATTCTACTCTGTACAGCTAGCTGGACTGGATTTCTCAGTCGCATTCCAGGTACGTTGATTTTCATAACGTTAGGCCTCGAGGCTTTGCTATTTATTCTCTGTGTCTGCCTTCACCCGCCACTTTAATATTTTCTAGAATCTTGCTTGCCCTTGTCTGACTTGAGGCAGAAGTTCAGACCATACCCACTCCGAATCGTCGGTGTTAGCAGATATACGGAAGCTTGCAGGCGATTCCGAATGGCAGAGCAGTCTAGATACCAGGAACAGCATTCTCACCGAATATCACATATGCGTCGTGTAGGGTGCACCATATTCTATCTATTTTTGGCTCGTCTTTGACAATTTGGTACAGGCAAGCGATGCCAACATCAGCCATTCTCCACCCCCATGGCCGAGACAGGAGGATATGAGTATTCCAGAAAATTCTTCTCGCATGGGCATCTCCCCGGCTCCATACACAAACCATACATCCCAACAGTTTTACCCACATGTGGCCAATTCGTTTCCAAGCGCGGACTTTGAAGAGATATCGGTTCAGGACTTTACCAGCCACCATAATCCAAGCATATACGGCAGTTCTGCGCTGAGTCGCTACCAATTCGATTTAGGGCCATGGAATTCACTGCAGCAGCAACAGGAATATGCTGTGTCTACCATTTCTGCACCTCAGACTTATGGGGAGAGTCTAACGCCTCATGATGTTTTCCCTCGAGCGCAATTGTTGTCGCCAAACCAAAGGGCACGATCGAGCTCCAGTTCTGAGAAAGGGGGATCCAGCTACGTGTCTGGTCAATATCAGGACACATCTGCCACTACGGAACTCAGTGGTGGTCAAGATGAGGTTCAATCTCAGTATCCAGACCTGGACGAGGGGCTTGGGAACCGGAAAACGGGTGCTGAGCCTTCAGAAATGAACCAAGAAAAGGCATCTGCACGACCTCCAAGCACCACCGGTACGCGCCGAACCTCATACCGGAGAAGCGTCCCTAAAAATTGCGAAATCTGTAGTCGCCCATGCAATAACCAATCTGAGTATACGTGCGTACATAGTCGCTCTGCACCGAGACAGTAACTAAGATTATACAGGAAACATATGCAAAAGCACCAAAAACCCTTCAAGTGCGAGCTGTGTGGTCGGTCAGAGGGTTACTCCACTAAGAATGATCTTGCACGGCACCAGAAGACCAAACACGGTATCGAGGACGGTCGTGGATACTGGTACTGCCCAGCGAAGAACTGCAATAAACGCAACAAACCCTGGCCGCGATGGGACAACTTCAAGAATCATGTCAAGAAAATACACGATGATCAGGATGTTGATGAATTACTGGAGAGGTTCGTGTTCTTGGATATTCAGTCAACCACATTTCGCTGACAACCATGGACAGTGCCAAAACGGCCAATCAGGAGTCTGTGGCTCGGTTTCCAGGACATGACACCAAGACTGATGAACAGAATATGGAAGATGTCTTGATTGGCATTGGAGGAGCTTCAGGAGTTAGTCCCAGACCTGCTCCGGATATTCTTGTCACACATACCGAAGACACACCGAGTGGGAGGACAAGTGGGCTCCAGTATTCCGCGTCTGATTTATATACCAACGGCGTCTATGCAAGGACCCAGGAGACCTTAATAGCTCCCATCAGCCCAGGTGTGGATCATATCTCCGTGACTGAAAGAGGGGCGGTTTCGATTGATACTTCTCTTCAGGGCCATTCGACGACACCCTTGGGTGGGAGGCTCGATCGGTCTCCTGGGATAGGGACGACTGCTCCGATTTCCAATTCGACCACGCCCATGACACTTGATGGGCCTGGAGACATGACAGAGATGTGCGAGGGCTTACCGACTGGCATGGAGAGAAATGATGAAAATGAGGACACTTCCGCGCCAAATGAGCAGGAAAAGTCCAATCTGACAAATTTGAACGAGATTGAGGAGCAATTGAAAAACATCGTCGGCAGCGAGAAATTGCAAAAAATTTTGCAAATTGTGAAGCTGAACGCTGTTAAGCTATCCAAATCCACAAAGTCCAAATCCTCGATGACCTCTGAGGCATCCACTACAAAGAAACTGCAATGCAATGAATGCTCCAAGTCAACAGATCGACAATGTGACATGAAGTATGTGAGCTCCTTCTACATTGTCCTCGACCAAATGACTAATCACTCGCCCTCAGCAAACACAAGAAACGCCATCGCCGTCCGTATGGTTGCACCTTTCCCCGTTGCAGCAAGACTTTCGGCAGCAAATCCGACTGGAAACGACATGAGAACTCACAGCATTTCCAATCGGAGCTCTGGCGGTGTCAGCAGCCAGCCCGAGGTCGACTCCCTGAATTCTGCGCGCGGCCCTTCTTCCATAAGGAGGAATACCTGACTCACCTTGTCAAGGAGCACGACCGTTCTGCAAGCAAGGTCGAGGAAGAAGTTGAGAAATGCCGTATTGGACGGAACGGTCAAGTTCGCTTCTGGTGCGGGTTCTGTCGGACCATTCTCTCTGCCGAGGGGACGGGTGCGGAGGCGTGGGAGATGCGGTTTACCCACATTGATGAACATATTAATAAGGAGGGAAAGCGGGTGGATTCTTGGTTGTGTGTTGAGGAGAATAAGCTAAAAGGGGAGAGAAAGGAAGAGAAGACTACGATATTAAGGGAGAATGAGGAGGTCGGCAAGAAGCGAGGGAGGGAAAATGAGTCGCCAGTAGAGATGCCACCTCGTCCCCCTAAAACTCCTCGACGAGAGATGAGAACGGCATCAACAACAGCAATCGCACCATCTGCGCTATATTCACTGCGGATGGAGCGTGCCGCAGGTGACAGCGCTCACATCTGCTGTTGTGGCTCGGGACCGTACCTCAAGAAGGTATACTCGGCATGTCTTGCTTGCGGTCGTGAGTTTTGCAGCAACTGTTCTTCTGAAGAACTTGCCTGTCATGAATGAGTTTATGATCGATAGAAGAATTATTTTCACCAATTCTTAGGGGTGTTTTCTAATTTAGACAATGATACCCGGATGTATGAGTACCAGGAATTTCAGATCATTCGGTCAATTTCTACTTTGCAGGTCTATCCCCGTTTGAACGTTTTGGTAAGAGTCAATTATTGCCAGTCCAGGATTGATAAAATGATTAGTATTCTTGGGTGTCAGTATCCATAGAGCAATGGAACATCGAAAAGAATTGCAGTGTCAACGGAGTAAGAGGTCTTGCCCCTAAAACTCGTACTATCACCAACATTAAAAGCTAGAATGACTCACAAAGCCACAACTCGCACCAATATTCAACAACCCAAATCATTATATCGTGACGAGGTATATTTCGGCATTTTGGCATTTTCGGCGTGTGAAACATGGATAAAAACAGGGAGATCGCCACGGCACTACTTTCAGAGGCTCCAGAGTTGGATGGCATTCCCGAGTCGCCGTCCCAATATACAATCTGAACTGTTTCGCAGCGGCGGCTTCTAGTCTGCTTGCTAGGCTATCTCGCGCTTGTATCTTCTCTAACCGCAAATATTTATTTTCCAACCCTCGATCTTCTGAGCAACAGATAAGGAACCCCACTCCAGGCCATGAATCTGACCATCATCACTCTGTTCGTAGTTTTCCAAGGCATTGCTCCTTCATTTTGGTCGCCGCTCTCTGACTCATTCGACGGCGACCGGTGTATTTGGCCACGTTCACAGTTTACACTATAGCTACTTGGTGCTGTCAATCGTGGATCGAAGCTATACGACGCTCCTTGTCTTCAGAGCAATCCAAAGCATTGGCGGTTCTTCAATGCCTTCGCTCACCAATGCTATTGTCGTAGATACTATAGTTCACTCGGAGAGGGGCACCTATCTGATGCCAACGCTCACGGCGACCAATATCTGACCTTGTATAGGTCCGATCATTGGTGGTGGAACCGCGTTGGCCACCGGAGATCCAAGATGGTGTTTTCGAACTCTCCTGATATTTGGTGGACCAGAGGTGCTATTCATTGGATGGGCCATGCTAGAGACCGGACGGACTATAGTTGGGAGTGGCGCAGTTCCCGCGGCTGGCATGGTATGGCGAACATGGTGGAGTTTTGTTGCAAAGATCAAGTTACGAGGACGAACCAGATCAAATTCACAGGGGAATGGAATATCCATACATGAGAGCATAACTGATGCTATATCCCTGGACAACGTGGTGACAGTGCCGACTTTGACCACCAATGCGAACCTTATTGGAAGGGCGACCTTCATGATGCCCAACCCTATTCCTTCCATCCGTCTGTTATTCTTCGACACATTTCTTACTCTCTGGCTCGCTGATTCTCTGTATGCACTCTGGTTCTACGTACAAACCTCACTCACTCCAATATTTACTCTGCATCATGGCAACAATCCACTAGAAGTAGGACTCTGTTTTCTGGCTGGCGGACTCGGGATCATTCTCGTGGGGTTCATTGCACGCGCATTGATGGACAGAAACTACAAGCAGGTTGCTAAGGAAATAGGATTCTCCGTCGATTGTGTTCGTGGAGATGATATATCGCAGTTTCCGATCGAACACGCGCGCTCTCGAAGGCGGATCACCATAACTTTGGTATCTATGTGTGTGGTTGTCGGATACGGATGGGCCGTCGAAAGGCATGCGCATCCTGTACTCCGTCATCCTGCTCTTCTTACAGGGGTATATTGCTTGCAAATGTACGATTCTTCTCCAAACCTTTAGTGCTTTGATTGTGGACATATTCCCTAATGCCCCAGGAACTGCGGCCGAATCAAACAAGATTACTCGGTGCATTTTAGCTGCAGGAGTGATTGCTGCCCTTGATCCGTTAGTCAGTGCTATGGGGTACAGGTGGTTATTTACTTTGCTTGAAGCGTTAGATGCGGGAAGTTGTACGGTAGCAGTGTGCTGGAAGCCGAGGCAAAAGACCCTCTTCGGAATAACCATTCACAAAAATTAAGGTACGAGATATCTCGATGATGCCGCGCATCATACACAGTAGATCATGTTCAATGGAGTATTACTAAAGTCTTCATTCGTCTGGATTCGATCTGGATTTTTGCTCTTGCAAATATCGACGCTGTCGATACCTACCTTAGCAGAGGGTGCGTTCGTCCCCTATAATACCCGCCTGCACTGCCCAGAAGATTGCGACGGAGCGCAATGTCCTTCCATTCTATTTAAAATTCTAGACAGACAGGATGTTGCAACCGGGAATATTTCCCCTGAAAAATTGGTGTGCATCTCGATACTGCCGTTCTGAATGACTGTAAATGATTTAGAAGTCGTTGAGAGAATCGGAAGGCGGAATAAACTGGGAATAATGAACCAGTATATAGGTACGCTTCTTATTCAGAACAAGGACAATTTGGCATAGATAAAGGGGTGGTCTCGGAAAGTACGTCAGAAATAGATTGATATAGTGAGTAGGTCATTGCGGAACACAAGATGATGGCTGTACAGATGATTGCTGTGCAGATGATATACTTGAAAGGAGATCAGTTGAATATATTCAATAGTTGCTTTTTGATGCGGTACAGAATGGATGAAGATCACCTAAAGGATGGGAAATTCACTGACGAAGAGGTGAGGAGAGAAATTCTGGAAAGATTCCGTTTTCTTGCGAGCTATGGCGGTTTCAGAACAACTCCCGGTGTACGTGAGTATAACGATGAGTATGACTGTGATGATGAACTGTTGCTTGCTGTCGAATTTGCTCCTTCGAATATCGCCTTTGCAGTACCTTAACCCTGGCCTCCCTCTCCATCTGCAAGCGCAAATCAGGAGGCCAGTAAGTAGATACGAAGGCGACTTCATCTCCTCCCCTACATCTCTCCATCTCCCGAAAACCCAACCCCTGCAAATGCAAATCAACCACTTTTCATTACCTCCCGCGTCGCCCAAACTCCAGGCCTGGACGCGCCGATTGCTCGGGCATACCCGGGCGATGCCCTCCATGAGATGATGCGATGCTATGCAAGTACTGGAATCTAGCAGTCCACCGACGTGATGCAAAAGATTGGAAATGGGGTGATCGGCAAAATTGAAAACTGATGTTTCATGTGAATGTGGTGTTTCGAGATTTCTTGATGTGCTTAGAATTCCCAGTCCTCGTCGACGGACTTGATGGCCCAGTCGAATTTCTCGCGAAGGGTCTTGGAGAAGAAGCGCTCGATAGGGACGTTGAATTTCTTGGAGAAGACGACGGTGAGGCGCGGGTCGATGTAGTTCTGTTAGGGCGGTTAGTACTAGCTTGTGAGGAGCGAAAGGGGGAAGTGAAAACTTACGATCTTGGAGGTACCCAAGGCAACCTCCTTGTTGTCATCCTTATCTTGCAGCTGCACTCGCATCGTCTCGATCCGTTGATCCAACTTATCCAAGTTCGCTTCAAACTTATCGACCGAGGCACCCTTGCCCTCCGCTTCAACCTTCTTCGTCTTATTCTCCTTCTTGAACTTCTTCGCCATGTCAGTGGCGACCTCAAGACGTTCGTCCAGCTCCTTCTGCTTCATTGGCTTCTGACCGTCTGCCACGAGTTTCTCGTTGTCCTTCTCAAACTTCTTCGTGATCTTCTGGCGCTGCTCTTCAACAAGTGCGGCTTGATGTTGCTCGAGCCATTCTGGGGTCAAATCCTCGTCGAGCTTGAAGTAGTCAGCTCCTTTCTTCTTCTTCAGCTTGGGCTCGAGGTCGAGCATCATCATCTTGATACGCCATTTCTGGTAGCGCAGGCCATTGATTTTCTCTTGCATCTTCTCAATCTGGGTTCCATGTGATGCTGCCACAGTGCGCTTGTGGTTACAGAGAATGGCAACCTTGCGGTTCGCATCGTTATAATCCTTGACCTTCTCCGCGATGGTACCAGTCGACTTCATGTCCCTCAAAAGGCTGGCCATCGTCCAAGAGGCGTTGTAGGTACGGAACACCTTTGCAGTCAGCCCCTGCATGTAAGTGCTGAGGTGCTTGTTCAGAGCCGAAGTGGTCAATCGATCGAAGATCTCATCACCCTCACTCTTAGGCGCCTTTTTGAAGATCTTCAAGTTCTTGAACACTTGCTGGTCTACCTCAAACTCATCGTAGAACCGGATGCTGTCTTTACCGAGGAAGTCGAAGACAACGGTATTCGGTGGCTTCAAGGTGACGTGTTCAAATTTGAGCGAACAGCAACCGACCGTGTCTGCCTCATCTTCGCCTTTCTCATTGCCAGCTCTGAGTGCGAACTTGTCGATAAGATAGATCGCGGTGGCTCTCTGACGATCGGCCATGACCTCAGACTTCAGTTCTTTGGTATAGTCCTTTCGAATTCTAGCGATGTGTTTCTGAAAGATGTTAGTCAATGTTCCAAAAGCCGAAAAGAAGTCTGTACGAACCTTTAGTTCGCGAGCTTTCTCAAACTTCTTGAAGTCGCTCTGACCCTTGATATCAGAGTTCGCTGCTAACATCACGTACTTGTACGCGCCGTTGATGTTCTCCTGCCACATCACCAGCCATGTGCCTTCCTGGTCATGCTTGACTTCCTTCCAGTGATGACCCTTTGGAGGATCGGGGACCTTTGCCTCTTTACCAATGTTGATGGTGATCTGTTCGGGATTGACCCTCTTCTTGACGCGTCCTGTCTTTGGGTGATCACCACGCCCACGGAAAAGACCTGGAGGTTCGACACGGAAGTTGCCGACTTTCTGCTTGCGACCATCCCACGTACAGAACATGTATTGGGCCTCTGCCTCGTCTTTTTCAGCTTTCTCGGCCTTCTTTTCCGCCGCGGGACGATTCTTCTTCTTTTCCCGCTCGTTGACGTAGTACTCGTGAATCTTGGTGAAGTCACAGTCTTCGAATCGTTTGATCTTGATCTTGTTTCCCTTCGCGTCCACTCCATGGCCAACATCGTCAAGTTTTGCTTGGAAGTCTTCGAAGAAATTCTTGTTGAACGTCGGGTTCTCGACATTGACAGTGGAGTGTAGCATGGCACCATAAAATCCTGCAATCTCCTCCGCCTCCGGAGGTAGTGTCACGGGAGTGCCAGCGTAGATGAGCCTGGCACTCTTCGGAAGCGGCTGATACGGCGGAGGAAAGACGACTCCATTATGCTCCAGTGTCGTCCACTTCTTGGTACCGTCGCCTTGTACGGGCTGCTCCCACCATTTGAACTCCTCTTCTGCTGCAGCTTCATCCTCCTCCTCTTCCATTTCTTCCTCTGCCTTCTTTTTTGCAGACTTCTTGGGAGCGACGGCAGGCTCGGGTTTCGCTTTGCTCTTTGCCTTCTTGGCGGCAGCGGACGATTTGACACCATTGGTAGTTGCTTTCGAAACTGGCTTCTTTCTCACGAGTGGGACATCGTCCTCACTTTCGCTCTCTTCCACCGTTGCCTTCTTCTTCAGCTTTTTCGCATCAGATTTGATAGCCTCAGCGGTCTGCTCAGCTCGCTTCTCAATCTTGGCTTTTTCATTCGCAAGCTTCTTATTGAGGGGTACGTCATCATCGGATGAGTTCCCAAACTGACGGGCGTCGACCCTGGGTGGCAGCTTGGCTTTGCGTACCAGAGGAATGTCATCTTCGTCATCGGAGTCCACTAGAACTTTGGAGGTTTTGCGACGTTTGGTCTAGGCCCAGGTTAGAAGACGGCTTCCTGTAGTGGAAGGACCATAAATACCAAAGGTTTGTTGTCCGCCTCCTCGGAGTCACTCAGGTCCTTGTAACTCTTCCCATTTGTGAGACTCCCACGCGATCGGCGCTTTCCTAAGGCAGCTCCATTGACATGCGAGGGATCTTTCATCGGACTATCACCGTCTTCGTCGACCGGGCCATGCCTTATTGAAACCCCAGGGTACGCGGTCCCGTTTGTGGATGGTCGCCTATCCGTCTTGGCACCGAGGATGCGATCCTTGGTCTTAGTCACTGTCGTAGAGAGTTAGCGATTAAGTGTCCAATATGAACAATAAGTGCGTGTGGATATATGAAAGGGTGTCAGCCCCGATGGGTAGAACGATGGAACAGTGATAAAAGTAAAGTCAAGGCTGACTGCAGTACTGGTCGGGACTGAAGGAGAGAGGGTGTCTCACCTCCATTCGGTGCCTTTCTCGCCAAAGGCGCATCGTCATCGGATGATGAAGACATGATGGCCTCGTATTGAGGCCGTAGCTTTGGAGGCGATACAAGTGAAGTGATACTGAGACGGGAGATTCGATAGGAGCTGAAAGATCGAGCCAGTGCCGTAGACCACGACAGGCGCGAACGGTGAGGAATGCGCAAGGATGAAAGGGTGAAGTCAGTGTGATATGAATGAAATGTGTAAGATATCAGATGCCCCTGCAACGATAGAGAAATCGAAGTGATCAGAGAGAAGGGGGAGGAATAGCGCGTGGTGATAATTCGGCGCGATTCCAGCAAAGTGGATGAACTGATGGATGGTCGCGTTTCGGTGGGCGACAGATCCATTAAATTGAGGGAGTCTAGAAGGTCACGTGGGCATAGTATTAACTGGTCATGTGAATGGAGAAATGCATCTTGGTCACGTGATTAGTCACCGTAAGGAGATAGCAAGGCACCAAGGTGTCAAGGCGTCAAGCACAGACCAACGTCGAATTCTCGGGACGACGGGAACTTCCAAAGGAAACAGCTCGCAATCACACGGAGCTTCACTCCTTCATCATCAACCCAATCCAATTGACTCTTGAATCGGGCAGCCTTGCTGTTCAAGCTTCAATTATCATCTCCTAGTTCCCTTTAGGAGGTCAAGATGCTGTCCACGGCTGTTCGACCCGCTCTCCGAGCCAGCGCGGCTGCCGCGTTGCGGTAAGTCGAACTCGATCCAACAATCTATCGAGAGAAGAAACTGATGTCAATTGTCCATCAAAATAGGCCCGCGACCGTTGCTCCACCGAATGCCGCGACCTATGCGACCCTTCGTGAGATCGAGGGCCGTCTGAAGTCGATCCGCAACATCGAGAAGATCACCAAAACGATGAAGATCGTGGCCTCCACCAAGCTCACCCGCGCCCAGCGAGCCATGGCCGACTCCCGCACCTACGGTCAAACGTCGAACACCGTCTTCGAGAAGGCTGAGACGAAGCCGATCGAGGCTGAGGGCAAGAAGGATTTGATCATCGTCTGCAGCTCCGACAAGGGCCTCTGTGGTGGTATTCACTCGGGCTTGTCACGAACGACCCGACGGATGCTGGCAGCGAAGTCGGATATCGAGCTCGTCATCGTCGGTGAGAAGTGCAAGGCGCAACTCGGCCGATCCAATGGCAAAAATGTTGTTCTCAACTTTGCTGGCATTGGGAAGAACGTTCCTACCTATGCCGATGCTCAAGCCATTGCCGACCAGGTCTCGCTTCTCTCGACCGACTATGCTTCCGTCAAGATCATGCACAACAAGTTCCTCAATGCTTCGAGCTATGAGCCAGTCACAGTTGAGGCTTTTTCCGAAGAAGCTATTGCCAATTCTCGTAAGGCAACTGACATTCGTTCTCTACATATATACTGACGACGATAGCGAACTTCGCTGCTTTCGAGATTGAGGACGAGACTCTCTCTAACCTCCGCGAGTATGCTCTTGCCAATTCATTATACTGGGCACTCACCGAAGGCCATGCTTGCGAGATCTCTGCTCGCCGCAATGCCATGGATGTGAGTAATTCATCATCACTAATATAGGGTGGACCATCTAACGAATATCAGAACGCCTCAAGCAACGCCAACGATATGATCAACAAGTTCCAGATTCTCTACAACCGAACCCGTCAATCCGTCATTACTGGAGAACTGGTCGAGATTATCACTGGTGCCATCGCATCGGAGGATATGTAAATCATACAGGTCTGACCCTGCCACTCCATGTACTTTGTTCAAAAGAGCTAGAAGCGATTTTCGCAATGTAGAATATTGAAGGTTCTATTTTGACTTAATCTATTCACAACGTCGTGCCTATGCTTGTACGGATGCAGTCGTACTCTGAGACTTCGACATGATGTCGATATCCATCGCCAGGACCTGTGCATTCCGCGAGCCATCGTCATTGCTGAATCTCCTATCCGCCCCAGTTTGTTCGTTCATATGCATTCACACTTCCTTGATCTGCGGAAGACTGCGTGCTTCAAAGTCTGTCCCGTTGCTTATCCCACTTTACCCGCTTTCCGCTGTCTCTCATCATCCACTTGATGCAAGCTTCCACGGATAATCGCATCGTAAACAACCTTAGTGTCATATCCTCATGACAGTCGTTCAGCATGCCCTGCTTGCATTTTCCCTTCCATAATAAACACCCAAAAACCAGTCGCCACATAATGCCTCAACCCTGGACCCCCACAATCCGCGACCTCCGAACCCACTTCCTAAAAGGCCTCTACAAACACTGCGCCTCCGAATCCAAGCGTCTCCTCTCCGAAATGAGTGGCAACGTACACCCCCAATCCCCCTCAAACGCACCGCCGAACTAAACAGCTGACCCGCGATCCAGGCCCACCCCCTCTTCCGCACCAGCCTCTGCTTCTACGCCGGCCTCTCCTACGAATCTATCGCCCACAGCCTCGCCACGACCTCCAACCTCCTCATACCCATGCTCGAGATGGCCGAGCAGCATTTTGTAGCGGCGTTGGCGTGCGTGGAGCGGGGGCGAGAGGGTTCGGCGGGATACTTCAACGCGTCTGGCGAGAATTGCAGGCACGGAATGGAGGAGCTGGACTTTATAGGTCGGGGAGATGGGAATCTGCAAGATGAGGAGATGTGGTTCGATTCGTTCGCAGCGTATCCGTATCATTTGGACGCGTTCATGCAGACGTTGCGGGATCATGCGCATCGGATTCATTTGATGAGGGAGCGGGTGGAGGCGAGGAAGTTGGAGAGGGTGGAGGAGGGGCGATTAGGGGAGATGGAGAGGGAGTCGGCGCCGAAGGCACGGACGAAGCGGCTGTCACATCGATCCCATATGCTTGAAGTGGAGCAGGGGAAGGAGGCGGTGTGGGAGGAGAGGGACGAACGGATGCGACGGTGGGCGACGAGGAGGCGGTTTTCGGCGACGAGGTATCAGGAGCTGTGTAGGAAAGCGTTGGAAGAGATAGTTCTGTAAGGTGGCGTTGACATCGGGGAAGGCGGACAGAATAATGAAAAGTGTGAGGAGTTGTTCAACTTTGAATGGACTGTTCTGATATTCTCGAGGCTAATTATACATGAAACTCACGTTATCCGTGCCTATCATTGGTAGGCATTTCAGAGGGACTTTATGAAAAGCCCTAATGATGGTATGACCGCCTCGGTCATCAGCTACACGCTTTCCGGGTTTTGGCGGACAATTGAACGCCTCGCGGTACTAACGGCGCTAATGGAGCATTGGATCCGACTCATAGAGAAACGCAAGCGAAAATAAAAACCGGAATTCCTTGCCGATCCCTTTGATACCATGTCGTTCCACGGCTGATGCGCAAAAAGGCCAGACCAGGATGCAAACGGAACCACTCTCGATCCGTCAATAAGTATGGGGATGCCTCAACAGGTGAATAAAGAGGTAGGACCTCTCCCACTCCAGCTGCTCGAACGGAGTCGCCTGCATGGGCTTGATATGCACCGGCCCTTGCAACGCTTCCACTTCGATCCGATTACAAATCCCGGGGATCAGCCGTGTCTCGAACCATGGGTACTCGGGATCGCGGTTCCCAGGCTGGCATCCCGGCGCATCGACTTCCTGCAGGCGCACGTTGTTCACTGTGACCAAGATCCGGGAGTTGGGGTTGTTGCGGAACGTCGGTAGGTGGGGACGGATGTGCCAGAAATGCTCGAGCGGATCGGCTTGGATCGAGTGGTAGTATTCGCGCTTGTGCGGATCGGGCTTCGTCGAGACGATCCAGGGGTCCTCGAGGTGAAGGTGGGGGTGGACGGAGAAGAGGATCTCAGGCATTATGGGACGGACGAGGGCTACGCGGACGTTAGAATAGCATGACGGTACAACGGCGGGAGAGACTTACGTTTGCCTTGCGAGTCAGTCTTGCGGAAGATCTCACGGCCAGAAGTATCGATGCGCGGGAACCCGAATTCCGCATATGGATCCATGGGGGGCATGATAGGCAATGAAGGAGCCGGGAAACGCCCTTCTGGATTCGCAACGGGCTGGCTCGGATCGGCGAAGAAACCTGGCACCGGCGGGGTGGGTTGGCCCGCGGCATCACTGGAAGACGGGACGGTGGGACGGGAAAAGACCGTCAAGCCAGTGTCAGGAGCGATGTCCCTCGCCGATGGTGAATCATCTGGTGGGTTTTGGATGGATGACTGCAGACGTTCGAGAATAGGATCGACAGCAGGGGCCTGAGGAGCAGATTTCGAGGCTTCTCCACTAGATCCAGGAGTCTCAGACTTGGTTCGAGGACCAGGGCTCGCCTTCGCTCCACCAAGGCGGAGTTTGAGAGACGTCTTGGCAGGGGCGTTGAGCTTGAGCTTCACACTGGGACCTTCGACCTGCAGCTTCGCTTCATCGAGAAGACCGCGGAAATGTTTCTATGATGTGTCAATTCATTCCACTGATCAATCTTGAACTGTGGACCCACCTCAAGTTCTCCAGCAAGGTTGTAGAGATCACTGCCGTCCTCATTGTACGCGCGGGCATTCTTCCAGATGTGACTCATCTCAGTCTCGAAGGCATCCCAAGTAGGGAGGAGAGTCTTTCCCGTAGCCGTGGTACGACCCTGAATCCCCTTGACTTTCTTCTGGACCCCTTTCAATGAGATCGGAGTCTTGATCAATTGATAATAGTCCACAAGTTGGCGGCTTGGGAGGTTGACGAAAGGCGTGTAGATGGCCAATCCACTCCTGTTGATAATCATTGAGTAATTGCATTGGCAGTCATCGTATACTTGTAACTCACTCGGGTTCTTCATAATGAAGGATTTCGTCCATAATCATTTCCTGCGCACGCTGGAACGTCATTCCAGCGAAATTGAGCTTCCCCGACGCATCTCGCTCATGAGCCCTCTCTTCTGGGCGCGAGGCAGACATACTTCTGGTTCTCATGTCCTCAGCTGCTGTCTGGTCCGCGTCGGGAGTTTCATCAACCTCTGCGGGTGTTTCTGCAGGTGTTTCTGATTTCACACCGTTCGTTTGTTTTGGTGGTGCAGGTGAAACGGTTTGTTGTTGGGGAGCTTGCGAAGGTGTGGGCGTGGGTGTTAGCGGAGCTTGCGGTGCGCCGAGCGAGTTCACAGCGGCGAGGATTGAATCGGGAATAGGTGTGGCCTGAGCTACATAATTCCCAGAGCGATATGCCGGGTTGTACCTCGTCATGAAATTTGACGCAGTCTTGCGCACTCGTTCCGCATCCGCGTACTGAAGGGAGGCCTTGTGGTAGAAAGCTTTTGCGTTGAGAATCATCCGCTTCACATCGCTCTCAAACTCGGTCATGTTCCGGTACGAGTTTTGTTGCAATTTGACCTATACCAGCGTCTCAGCGTCTGTTTTGACTCCGTTCGCATGCACCTCTTGCTATGCATGGTGATCCATATCAACGGTCAAGAATTCTCACCTCGATTGTATCAAACGCCAGGGGCAATAAAGTCTGCTTATAGTATCCATCTTTTGCTTCTTGAGAGTCCTATACCGCAAATCAATGTCCCGCTTCGTCTTCAGTCATCGTCAGTCCGCGTACCTCTCGGTCAGGGAGGGTCAGGAAGATCGTGGAAATCGGTCGCCCTCTGCGCGAATAATTAGTACCCCATCTGTTCAAGCTTGCTTTCTTTTATCTCTACTTACGTCTTGTCCCTCGCGTTCCTCATCATATCGATGAACTGCAGGCCCCGTTCGGTGGTGCCCTGGACGGTCTCTGGGCCATCGGCCGAATCCTACATGTCGCAATAAAGTTAGCCTTTGGTACAACCCAGTACATAATACTCGACGTATCCTCGATTGCAAGTACAATTTCCAAGCAGGGTGGTAATCCACTCGTACTGTGGAAGTCGTTGCAGCATCAAGGTCTCTTGAAGGGGGAGCTGTCGCGAAAGTTCCGCTCCGCGATCTGGAGACGTCAAAGGAACCCCGAAACAGCTATAGCATCGGTGAAGCATCGCCGCTTTGTCTCATCGCCTATCATAATTTGTGAATGCACTCACCGAAAGTCTTGCTCGCTTCGATGGACGGTCCATTGCGGTAGCTTCGTCAACCTTGCGCTTCAGGTCACCGTTCATAGTGGACGCGCCGTCGCGCGTCGCAACCACGTCTCAAGGATATTTGAGAGATTGCGGTTCGATTGAATGAGAAGAGAGAGAGGTCGAGTATGTCAAAGTGCTAAGGATGCGATTTCAAGTGCCTGGCTTCATAACGAACGTCGTTGGCGGTCGTGAACGTACGGATCACGTGATTTTGAAGTGTGGCTTGCATCACGGCTTGACCCCTGGCGTTGAATATAGTCGACCAATCGCGGCGAAGCTCTGGGTCTCATTCATATTCTGCTTTTGCTGTCGAAAATCAGAGCAAGAATGCGTTATTAACGACTTCGACCGCAGTAGTATACGGTATGGGGTAGAAGTCCGGTATAGGGCAAGTCCACGGGGTATAGGCTACCAGTTCTGACTTTGATACCGATGGCCAGATTATAGAATGGGTGTTCTCTGGGGTTCTGCACAGCTTCACGAAGCGTTCTTGGAAGTTCCCAATCAATTCCGGTTTGTTTCAAGCACCGAATCATACTGAAATGGGAGCAGGTTTCTTGGCCTGTTTCCTCTGATACTATAGTACAGTCGATATGGAGGTTCAAATACACAGCGCCGCCTCATTTCCCTGACAGGTTTCCTATCATCACCACTGCTTACGAATATACGAGGATCAATACCAAGTGTAAGGAGGAAAATGGGCCGCTTCGATTGTCACCACGTCTTCTCGACATCAGTAACGGTGCTCTCAAGCTGGTCGAATGGGCGTCACTGAAAACGAACCCTATCAGATACACAACTCTTAGCCATTACTGAGGCCCACTCAGCAGCTCTTCTAAGCAAAGTATGTCCTGAAATGGTCGTACGACCGAAAGGTAACCCGGAAATCGTATGTCGTATTCAATCTGGAGCGCTCAAGAACCATCCACGAAGTTCCGCTCTGTCTACTGGGGAAGAAGGTAACGGCGGCGTCCAGGCAGAGTACCAGGACGTCGGCGATGCTCCTTGTCGTGGAGCAAGATCACGGAAAGCCCGCGTCGGGTCAGAGAATGTATCGGCATATTGGGCAGGGGATTTGCGATAGGGATCTGGAAATGTTGGATTTTCTTGAGGGTGAATTGGAACTGGTATGAGCGAGGGTCGGGAAAGCCGGCTGTAACGATTGAATCGACGCGCCAGAATCTGCATTTTTGGAGCTCGCTCGGACATAGCGGAGTACAAGAGGACGAAGAATTCGAGCAGATGTAATACTGCTATACTAGTAGCGCATGGGCAATGAACAACATGACAATGTGAGCCCCTTGATCCTGAGGTAGAGGGCACCAATTTTCCAGCCCACCGCTCTTCCAACATGACTTCACCATATCATATCATATCTAACCATCCCATCCCATCCCACACCCACCAACTAAATAACCCAATCCCGAAAGAGTATCCGTCCCTCCTAGTATCGCCCCATCCCCCTATCTCGTCCCCTCCCCCTTCTCCAACGACTTCTCAAACTCCTGCCTCTCCTGATCCGCCTTCATCTCCCTCACCTTCGCCAACACCACCTCCTTAAAAATCGCCCCCTTCGCAATCTTACTCAACCTCCCCCTCCCCCCGGTCCCGCTCCCCCCCGGCGGTGTACTCGGCACCGCCACACCGTCCTGTGGATCATGCGCTGCGAGCGCTTGCCCGGCCGCCTCGCGCGCGTCTGGCGGCACGTCCGTCTGTCCCGGCGCATCATCCTCGTCGTCGTCTTCCTGCATGCGCAGCGCTTCGATGCGGTTGGCGAGTTTGACCATGTCGATGCCGCGGCGGAGGCGCTGCTTGGCGACAAGGGCGCGGATTTCGGGGAGAAGATTGTGGTCGGTGGCATTTTTGCCGGAGAACCAGACGTGATTTAGGGCTTGCTGGGGGGAGGTTAGTGGGGTGGAAAGGTGAGAGATGGGGAGGGGAGAGGGGACGGACTTGACTGGCGGGTCGTTTATGTGGCTCTGGTTGCAGGAGCTGGTTGATGAAATCTTTCGCATCGTCGCTGACGTCGGACCAGTAGCGGTTATGGAAGGTGATTTTCCCTGACGTGCATTCTTGGATCAGGTCGGTCAGATTCTCGCTGCGGAACGGCGAGTACCCGCACAACAGGGTGTATGTAATGACGCCCAGCGACCACATGTCCACTGGCTTGCTATGTCCATGTTTCAACATCACTTCTGGCGCCGCGTATCCGAACGACCCGGCCATCGTGGTGAGCACCTCGTTGGAGTCGAGCATTTTCGCGATGCCGAAGTCGGCGAGGACGAGGGAGGAGTTAGGGGAGGGGGAGAGGTAGAGGAGGTTTTCGGGCTTGAGGTCTGGTGGGTGAGGTTAGCTGCGTGGAAATATATTAGATAGAGGACGACGTGCCTCGGTGGACGACATTGTTTATGTGCAGGTAGTTGACGGCCTCCAGCACTTGCAGGATCGTTTCCGCGGCGTCCTTTTCCGTGAACTTTCCGCGGTCGCAGATCCGGTCGAATAGTTCGCCTCCGGTCGCAAGCTCGGTGACGATGTAGTACTTGTCCTGCACTCCCGATTAGTGACCCCGTGGCACAGTGTATTTAGCAGGTGCCCCGCCGCTGCGTACCTTTGACTCGAACCACTCGAAGAACTTGACAATATGTGGATGTTTCATACGCTGCAACATCTCCATCTCATCGTACACCATCTGCTCGTTCCCCCGCACATTTTTCTTGAGGATGATCTTCACGGCTACCTTGCCATCGGGGCTTTCGGCCTCTCTTACGATCCCGTATGTTCCGGCACCGAGGGTCTTCCCGAAACTATACTTCGATCTAGGATCGGCGGGTCTCAGTAAGATGTCAGGACGGAACCGCTCAAGAGAAACATACTTCTTATCATACGAGTCTGGCTGGCCGTGGAGGCGGTTCATCATGTTCGTTACTATTTCCGGTCAGCGAACTCCAGCCTTGCACTCGGGGAATGTGAGACTTACAGCTACTCATAATGTAGAAGCCGGGTTTCTTTTAAAGCGAAGTCCCAATCCTCCCAATCTCGATGAGAATCTTCCCTCGAGTAAAGGACCGTTCGAGAACAACGTCGAGGAACTTGAGGCGGCGATGGCCTGTCTTAAGTCTTTATCAGGTTCGTATTCTTGCGTTTGGAGGGGCTGGCTGGGACGCGGGGAAGGGTACATACCTTGATCAACTGGTCTGGTCCACGCAACCCGTGCGAAACCAAGAAGGGTCTGGGGTACTGGATGTACTAAGGGCAATTGGACCGATAAATCGAACGGGTAATAGGATATTTGGTTGATGTAGATATAAAAATTAAAAATGCAAGATCAAGTCTGCGAAGCTTTTAAGCTAGCTGGACTTCAAATCCTCCGACTGTCCTGCTTGCTGACTTGCAGTTTAGCGACGGCGAGCGGCTGAGTTACTTAGTCTCGCTTTTGGGGGGGCGCTCCTCAGCTATCGGCCCGCCGCTAGATGCCTCCAGGTTCAGGGGTTTGGACTTTGGAGTACGCAGCCTTGTGGAGCGCTTGTGATAGAAATTGGTTTGTTGAGACTTGAGATTGAGGGATCACTCGTGCTTTGAGTACGGTGGCAGTAGGTTGGAAGATGAGGATGGCGGGCCCGAGGCCAACCTAATATACGGTCACAGTACCAGGCCGGCGACCTCATTCCAGGCTTCAGTATTGGCTTGAGAGTGCTGAGACACAATGTTACCATACTCATCTGCCCATCCAAGTCACTAGGAATGTCGGAATATCGTGAAACCTTTGACCCTGACAATTGAATCGGAGCGGTCTCCTGCAAAGTCCAAAAGCCACAATTCATGCCTCTTCATCGTGATAACCACGAAGGACAGCACCACGTCCGTTCAACTCTCCATTTCTTTCCATGGACCAATCCGAAATTCGACGGAAAACCCGGATGGTTAATTGTTTGCACAGCCACCAGTCCATGCCTGCCTGAACCCTCATCCCACCCCCATCCTTCCGCTATGTTGAGCGAGGAGCAGTCGAGTCAATTGGCGAGGAGGAGACCAAGCTTGTGCAAGCTTCTAGGCCTCCATCCAAGCTCGAAGGCGCATCGCTAGGCTGATCCATCGCGACGCTCTTGTTTTGCGAGACTTGACTTTCATGTGTGTGTGGTTGATTGGCTGGAGTGATTCACGCAGACGAGACATGGAATTAGTCGAGTTAGATGTGGGTCCTATACAGATCTTCTAGTATTTGAAGTTGCTGGACGCATTCTTGAAACTCGTCCACAGCAACTATTCATATAATTAAAGGCAAAGAATTGATACCGCCGCCATCATATCATATCATAGTAAGGATATAACCATGGTAGAAACTGTGAGGACCGTTCCGATGGAAACAGAATCAAGTTCCTTCCCTTGTTGCGGAACACACTACGTCATGGAAACAATCTCCATCAACCCGCCCAACATGAACTGATAAATATTCCGACCACGTAAATAGAACCACTGGGAGAGACATAATCCCACTGAAACCCAGACGTCCTCTTCTCACATCTCCCAACCTCAAACAATCAATCAGCAGTCAACCCAACGCCAACCTTCCCACCTAGTCACTGAATCCACTCCTCCAAGCCCATCAAGAGCCAAGATGCACTTCACCACCGCCCTCGCCGCTATCCTCACCCTCCTCGGCCTCACCATATACTTCTTCGGCATCCCCGCCGAACTAAAGCGCAAACTCGAGCGCGCCGCTCTTAAAACCATGGGGCAGAACAAGGCCTCGTACATGCTCAACGGTAACTCCCCCTGCCCTCCCTTTCTAATCACCCCCCGATCACCCTCATTCCTCCCGACTTTCATGAGATCGATGGATAGATGACTGATATCTCAATAGATCAAATCGATAAGCTCCCCGAGGCAGATCAGCAGAGTGTGAAGGATCTGAAGAAGGGGTTGGGGAAGGCGTCCGGTGGGGCGGTGAGGAATCCGTTGGGGGATTTGGTCGGAGAGAAGGTGGATGAGGGGACACGACCGATGACGGGGCGATAAGGGGTTCGTGTTTTCGGTATTACGAGCTACAGAGCGAGACCTGTTCTGGTGAAGGGAGGGGATGGCGTTTGTTGAGCTCACCATGTTATAGGTACACGAAAGATATGTGAAAATTCATGTCATTAAGATTGCTTGACGAAGGAGGAAAGGATAATGATAAGAAATTGCTTTCGATGAACGCCAGACCACTTTTCCCTTTCCATCATGTATTTTTACAAACCAGGCCAAAACGCCAAACAGGGTATATCAGACTAGTCAGATTGAAGCGTGCAATTTGGATCGGATAGTTCACTCTCCGTCCGCAGCGTGGCCTTCACCTTCGCCGTTCGTCGTGGCACCGTAGTTCGCGTTCGGCTTCCTCGCGCGCCCGGCGATATCTTGCCAGGTAGCGTTGAACCTCCGTCCCGTGCTCGCAAGCAATCCCTCCTCTTCCTCCTCCACAAGATCCGCATCCAATTGCTCGTAGTCGAGCTTCGGGGTGCGGAAGAGCGTCGTCACGAAGACGATGAGATAGACGCCTGTGAGAAATCAGCATGAAGCCACAGCCATGTCAGTGGAGCTTAGCCACGAGAATTACTTACCAAGGAAGACGAACTGCGCCCAAAAGTCCACCACACCGAAGAACGGGAAATTCGCCGTCACCCGATTAATGAATGTGCTCGCCACGCTCGGCGTGCAGATATCCCTCGCGACTGGATTCTCCGCGAGCTCCGAGCACGCCCTAATAGCCGCACGATCGTGCGAGCAATCGGGCTGCTCACCTGGATGGCGCGGCGCGAGGTCACAGTAGGTCTGCGGGCCGAACGTGGCATACTGCGGGGCGACGAGCATGGCGACCGAGTAGTTGATTGCCAGCACGATCAGCGTGAGCATCACGGTGGCCATCAGCAGCGCCTGGGGCCGGGTGTGGCCTTTGCGGATCTGGAAGATGACGACCCAGAGGAAGCGGATGCCCGCGGCAGCGAGCCCGACGACGGAGGCGCTGAAGAAGAAGAGGACGAGGAGGAGGAAGAGGACGTAGTCGATCGGGAAGACCTTGGATGACTGCACCAGGACCCAATTGATCGGCTGGAAGATGTTGATGTGCCCCAGGATATACCCGCAGTGCGCCCCGCACACGCTGTTCTTCGCCTTGTCGATCCCGGTGATCAGCATCGATGTCCAAATCAGCAACGCCACCCCCATCAGAAGAATCCCCCCCACCAACTTTACTGGCCGGAAGATGGCTTCGAGCTTATTCCACGCCTTCACCAACCAGCTGCGGTGCTCCCCGCTCGCCTCCGCCGCCAACCGCTCGCGCCGCACGAGCGTCCGCTCCTCACGGATCAGCGACTCGAGCTCGCGCCGATCCCGGCTATCCAGTCCCCCTTCGCGGCCTTCATTGCGGCGCTCGAGTTGGCGCTGGCGTTCGCGGTTGGCGTCAAGGTGGGAGGCGGTAGATTGAGCGAGGGAGGGGGCGGAGACGGCGGGGGCGGACTTGATGAGGGAGACGGGAAGGAGAGCGAGGCCGGCGGCGGTATAGAGGACGTAGATGAGGGTGCCGAGGGTGATGAGGAGGCCGAGGGTGAAGGTGAGGGCGCGTTCGCCATGGTTTTCGGAGAGGAGCTTCTTGAAGTAGTCGAGGTTGGTAGAGTGATCGCCGTGCTTGATGCCTTTGGCGAAGGGGACAAAGAAGCCAACGAGGAAGAGGAGGACGACGAGAACGAGGAAGAAGAAGGTGTATTTTAGGGCCCCGAATATCCGCTGGGCGACGGTCTGCGAGCCATCTTCGGCGGCGTCATCGTCGTATTCTTCGAAATAGAAATACGTAAACGGCACAACCAGCAGGCAGAGGATGGCATCTAGGGAATACAAAGTGTAGTACACGATTTTTAGTGTGTACAATATATGTTCCACGGTATCTGGTGTTGCCCAGTCCTTCTTTATGCCATATTTCGAGCGATTCGTCGCGGATACAAGCGCGACATCCACCGGAAGAAGGAGGACGGTTGCAAGCAGCGCGCTGGTCGTAAAAATGGAGATGACGGTAATCGATGCGGCCCGCTCACGCGGCGCTTGATATGTGAAAACGAAGACGGACGCAATTGCCAGGAGTATGGCTATCGCGACAGCGTATGCCACCCAGATGAGACTGGTTTGGATAAGCGCCATCTTGAGAGCAATGCTATGGTTCGTATCAGCAAGTTGGGGTAGTGGACGGAAAGGTGGGATGCTGGTCATACAGAGGGTTTGGCTATCTTTGATGCCCCTGGGGATTCTCGACGTCGATACTCAACAGGATATAAATGACAATTGGAAATGTAAACGAGAAGGCTCAGAAAACGAGAGAACAGGCATGACCCCAAGTTGGAGCTGCCATGTTATTCCTGTCCAGCGTCGATCCATGTGTAGGAGTGACGACATGGAGTTGAAACACTGAGGTATTCAGCCTTACAGCCTTACAGCCTTACAACAGTAGACAGAGACTTACAGCCTTAGCGCCTCGAAGCTCTGGCTGTGGCTTGCAGCTCCCATTGGCCCAAGCTCTTGAATATCAAATCCCTAAATCCCTTGCTGCCCTGCACGTGTCAACGCGACGTGCTCTATATTCTCGAAAAGTTCAAGGCACAATTGGACAGCCACCCTGACATCAGGTCCAGAATGATCTCCGAAACGATACCCCTACGATGATAACTGCAAGTTTCCCAAACCATGCAGTGCTACACCGAACTCACCCCCGCAACCGCCGTTACCCACTCCGTCTCCCTCCCATTCCTCTCCCCGAAAACCGTCAACCTCGCCGTCGTCCGCACGAACATCCTCCAGATCTATGAGCTCAAGACCATAGTCACCGAGGTCGAGCGCCCCGATCGCGATGATGAGGAGCCCGCACCCCAAGATGCCATGGATGACGGCTTCGGCGGCCCCGAGATCGCCTTGGAGCGGACGGAGAACACCACCAAATTGTCGCTTCGCGGAGAGTACGTGCTCGCGGGCACCGTGACCGCGATTTCCCGTGTCAAGCTCACGGCGACGAAATCCGGTGGCGAGGCGCTGTTGATCGCATTCCGGGACGCGAAGCTGAGTCTGGTGGAATGGGATCCGGAGATCCATTCGATATCGACCATCTCCATTCACTTCTACGAAGGCGAGGGGGTCTACTCTAACCCTAGTTTGCCAGAGATCGGCCTGTGCAGTGCGGTTTTGGCCGTGGATCCCAGTAGTCGATGCGCAGCGCTGAAGTTTGGGGTGCGGAATTTGGCGATCCTTCCGTTTCGGCAGGCGGGAGATGATCTGGTGGATGAGGACTATGATCCGGATATGGACGAGCCGATGGGGTCGCCTTCGAAAGCGATGACCAACGGTGTTACGACTGAGGAGAACCCGACCCCATATATGGCTTCGTTTGTCCTGCCGTTGACGGCAATTGACGCGTCACTATTAAACCCCGTTCACCTGGTGTTCTTGCACGAGTATCGGGAGCCGACGTTTGGTATCATATACAGCACCAAGACGCCATCTGCAGCCCTCATTGCGGAGCGACCCGACACCATAAACTTTGCTGTTTTTACACTCGACCTTGAGCAGCGCGCGTCGACTGCGCTACTTTCAATTAGCGGTCTACCCTATGATCTGTTCCAAGCAATTGCGTTGCCTTTGCCGATTGGTGGCGCACTGCTGGTAGGAGGGAATGAGTTACTCCATGTTGACCAGTCTGGAAGGACTGTTGCTGTCGCCGTCAACCCCTTTGCGAAACAATGCTCGTCCTTCCCCATGGCGGATCAATCAGAGCTTGGCCTTCGACTAGAAGGCAGTGTCGTCGAGCAGCTTGGAGGCGAAGAGACCGACTTGCTTATTGTGCTGAATACGGGCGAACTAGCCATTGTGTCCTTCAAAATGGATGGACGAACGGTATCTGGTCTCCATGTCCAGCAGATTACCCAAGAACAGCTCAGCAAACCACTTCCGGGCGCCATGACTTGCTCATCACTACTCAGTCGCGGACGGATATTCCTTGGAAGCGAACAGTGCGATGCTCATCTGATCTCCTGGTCCAAGAAGAAAACCACACCACTCGGCAGGAAGCGGTCCCATGCAGAGTTCCTAGCGGACGCAGACGATATGTCCGATATCGAAGAAGAGGATGACGACGAAGACGACGACCTGTACGCCGCAGAAAGCAAGCCCCAAGAGCGAAGATCATCCGGAGAGCTTGGCACGGGATCGATCGCGGACTTAAAATTCAGGATCCATGACACCCTGCCAAGCATAGCTCCTATCCACGACTTCGCCATAGGCAGTAGTTCCGGCCCCACTATTCATGGGGGTGCAGGCCAGGAGGCAAATGAGCCGCTGGATCTTGTTGCGGCATATGGAGGGGGGGAATCCAGTGGTCTCGCAATCCTCAATCGATCGATACACCCTGTTGTCCAACGGGAAAGCCGCGTGGCAGACGCGAAAGGTCTCTGGGCAATACACGCCAGAAAACCGGCGCAGAAAGGATTTGCAGCGATCAGTGCGCAGGATAAGGAAACGAACCTGTCGGTAGACGCAGACTACGATCGCTACATGTTCGTTTCCAAATCGACGGACGATGGCACAGAGGAGACACTGGTGTACACCGTCACGCCCAACGGCCTGGAAGAGACGACGCAAGGAGACTTTGAAGTCGACGCGGGAGCGGCGATCGAGGTTGGGTTACTCGCGAATAACACGCGGATCGTACAGGTCCTTAACACGGAAATACGCAGCTACGATTCAGAGCTGGCGCTACAGCAGATCATGCCAATGGAAGACGAAGAGACCTCGGCCGAGCTGAACGTCTTGAGTTGCAGCTTCTGCGATCCCTACGTCCTTGTTATCCGAGACGATGGAAGCTGCATGGTGCTTGAAGCGGATCAGAACGGCGACATTGATGAGAAAGAGCGAGGAGATACGTTCAAGGCGACGAAGTGGGTTTCGGGCTGCTTATATCGATCAAGTTTCTCGCAGGAGAAGCACACGGCGTTCCTGGTCGGCCAAGACGGTGCGCTGTGTATCTTCGACGTTAACAACCTAGCAACCCCCCTGTGGAGCGTGGAGAACATTGTGTCCCTTCCATCGATTCTTTCCTCGGATCAAGCGGTTCGCCGGTCCATCGCAAAAGACAACTTGACACAAGTCCTCATGGCAGATATTGGCGACGATATCTCCAAATCCCCACATCTCTTCCTGCTAAACGAGCTGGACGATATCATAACCTACCGGCCATACCACACCTCTACCCCCGACACCACCCAACCCTTCACCAACTCCCTCCGCTGGCAGAAAGTCTCCCACGAATTCTCCCGCACTGAAGAAGACTCCTCGCGACCCGAAGGTGAACATAGCCTAAACACCCTGCGCCTCCTAAAAAACGTCGCCGGCTACTCCATCGTGTCACGCTCCGGCCAGGTCCCTCTCGCCACCTTCAAAGAAACCTCGTCCGTCCCCAAATTCCTCCCCCTCGCCGTCCCCGCCGCCATCAGCCTCACCGAATTCCACACCGCCGACTGCGACCGTGGCTTCGCCTACCTCGACCGCGCCGGCGTCATCCGCTTCTGCCAACTGCCGGCGCACACGCGGTTCGGCGACATCGGCTGGGCGTGTCGGCGCGTGCCGCTGGGGATGGACGCGCGGCAGGTTTGCTATGACCCCGTGCACCATAACTACGTAGTGGGATGCAGCGAGAAGCGGGGGTTCAAGTTGCCCGATGACGAGATGCACCATGAGTGGAGCAAGGAAGGGACGGCATTCCTGCCGCAGGTGGAGCAGGGTTACGTGAAGCTGGTGCATCCGGAGACGTGGGTCGTGATCGACGACCACGAGCTGGAGACGAACGAAGTGGTGATATGCATGGAATCGATGAATCTGGAGGTGAACGAGAACACGCACGAGCGGCGGCAGATGGTGGGGGTAGGAACGGCGATGATCCGCGGCGAGGATCTTGCGATGAAGGGCGCGGTGTATATCTTCGAGGTGATCGACGTGGTGCCGGAGCCCGGGCGGCCGGAGACGGGGCAGAAGTTGCGGCTCGTGGTGCGGGAGGAGGTGAAGGGGGCGGTGACGGCGGTGTCGGAGATCGGGGCGGAGGGGTATGTGCTGGTGGCACAGGGACAGAAGATGATGGTGAGGGGGTTGAAGGAGGATAATTCGTTGTTGCCGGTGGCGTTCTTGGATATCAACTGCTATGCGACGGTGGCGAAGACGCTGCGAGGGAGCGGGCTGGTGATGGCTGGAGACCTCATCAAAGGGTTATGGCTCGTTGGATATACGGTAAGTCTTGCACTGTGCGTCACAGTTGGAATGATGATGCTGATTACCGCAACAGGAACAACCATACCGAATGATCTTGTTCGGCAAGACGAAAACCAAACTCGAAGTCACCAACGCCGAATTCCTCCCCGTTGACAAACAGCTCTACCTCATCCTCACCGACCCCGACTGCAATCTCCACGTCCTCCAATTCGATCCTGAAGGCAAGTCTCCCTCCCATTCCCTTCAGCTTATGCTAACCCTTCCCAGACCCCAAATCCCTCTCCGGCCAACGCCTCCTCCCCCGCAGCACCTTCCACACCGGCCACTTCTCCACCAAACTCTCTCTCCTCCCGTACCCCCACAAACCTTTCCCCTCCCCCATCCCCAACGGCAACCACACCCCTCCCCCTTCCCCCCCCCCTCCCGCCCACCAAATTCTCCAATCTACCCACTCCGGCTCCCTCGCCCTGCTCACCTCCCTCTCCGAAGACGCCTACCGCCGCCTCAGCGCCGTGCAGACGTACCTCGGCAACGTGGTGGACGCGGCGTGCGGGCTGAACGCGCGGGCGTACCGGGCGGTGGAAAGCGAGGGGTTTGGGAGTCGGGGGGTGTTGGATGGGTCTTTGTTGGGGCGGTGGGGGGAGTTGAGTGGGCAGCGGAGGGGGGAGGGATGTGGGAAGGTGGGGGCGGAGGCGTGGGTGGTGAGGGGGGATTTGGAGAGTATTGGGGGGGTGGGGTTGGGGTTTCTTTAGGAGAGCGGGATTCATGGGACGGGAGTGGTCGGGCTAACTACTTCCTGTAGAAACGGATCAGGGACATCTGGAGATGAGTCCAACGTAGTGCCTAATACAACGGCTACCATAAACTTCGCAGCAATAATCTGATGCTAGCGAGCTCCAAGCTTCCCTGCAATTCCCGATAGTGTCGACACCCTAGTGACTATAGGTAGCTAGAATTAATGGTGATCTGATACGAGAACTCGATCACCTCCAGGGTCTGGTGGACCTAGCAGCCCTATGTTGCTATCAGGGACTCAGGGTTGTGGAGTGAACGGATACGTCATACGCCAAAAAAGGGTCGTGTGCCAAACAGGATGTGGAACACGTCTCTCTACAAAAATACTTTCACCGAAATTCCTGCCGCTTTCGAGATTCTTAAATACAATCTGTCCTTTTTGAATCATCTTCTCTGCAGCTGCAGCCTCTATCGTGTCCTCTTCAATATCTCTATCGCTTCGGATCTACCTTTCGTTCCTGTGTTGAGAGTTTATTTACACAAGCTTGACATCATCCTACCAGAAGCACCAAAGCATCACGAATAACCAAATCACCAAGTTACCAAGTTACCAAGTTACCAAGTCACCAAGTCACCAAAATGGCAGACGTGCATCCTCGGGCAATTCCCACTCCCGCAGAGCCACAAGATGGCAACGTCGTTCAAAATATGATGAACTGTAAGGTGTGTAACGTCCAGCCAGAAAGCAGAAGAAAGCGAGGGAGAAAGAGCCCAGTTGCCCCAAGCCCAGTTGCTCCAAGCTCCCCCTGCTCGTCTCGTTTTATTATTGAGACATTATTATCATTTTTGATAATTTGTTTGCATGTGAAACCCCAAGCAACAGCACCCAAGCAAGGAAGCCAGAGCTGTGTGTCGTGTGAGCTAACAACCAGATTTATTCCAGTAACCAACCCTGCCTTCCACTCCACCTTATCTTCCTCAACATTTGTCTCTCTCGCCAACTACGATTCTCAACGACGACAACACTACCACCGTCTCTCGAAATTCCGAATATCGTACAGGAAATACCCATAGCTGATCATCCCCCAGCCGCTCGCGAGACCATGGAGTCAGCCCAAAACAACCCGACCGTCAAAGACGTCAAGCACTCACTGACCGAGGGTGAGGTGAGTAAATTTCTACGCCTCCTGGCATCATGTCATATTGACTCTTGGGACCTCCTCGCTAATGTATTTCCGTCGAATCTAGTTTACCGTCTGCAATGCTGGTTTTTAGTGCGAGACTTCTAACATCACCTAGGCCCCATCGCTCAGGGCGTCAAAGAGCAAACTGGGAAGGCGTCGGCCGAGTTCCAAGATTTGGCGAACTCGCGGACCACGCCTGAGCAGCCTGCTGCTACTGGCCAGCCGTTGACCCGTATGTGATTTGGATATCAATAACTTTTTGGTTACGGGCATAGCTAATGTTATGGTGTTATAGATTATCATTCGATGCTCTACCGGCTGCTCAGCGTACGAATATCCGTTCACCCCAATCACGATCATGCGATGCTGATATTAGAAATAGTGGAAGAACCCCCGTGCCACCGCCATCACCTTCGCCGCGAACGTTCTCCTCATCTTCGCCGCTCGCTACCTCAACATCCTTCGCTATGCGTTCAAGGGTCTCTACATGGTGCTCGGAAGTACGTTGGACCAAATTTTATATCTGAAAGTGTCGGGGCTGACATGTTCGTAGTCACTGCCAGCGCTGAGATCGTGGGACGATCGGTGTTCGGAAACGGATTCGTAACGCAGCTGAGGCCGAATCGCTACTTCATCATCCCAAGGGACTCGCTGGAGCGGTTTACCGACGACTTCGGCCAGCTGGTGAATTTCGTGGTCATTGAGTTCCAGCGTGTCGTCTTCGCGGAGAACATCTACGTGACGCTCGGGGTATGTCAAATCTTCCTTCCCTCCCCTTCCCGTCACCCCATCCCCCCCGCCTCATCCCATCCCCAATTTTCCTCCATCCACCCAAAAGCTAACCCCCTTCCCTATAGGCCTTCCTCTCCACCTTCCTCTCCTACTTCCTCATCAAATGGCTCCCCCTCTGGGGCCTCGCCCTCCTCGCCACCTCCACCGCCTACCTCGCCCCGCTGATCTACCTCCAAAACAAGCCCTTCATCGACGCCCACCTGCAGCGCGCCTCCGACCTCGTCTCTGACCAGGCGCAGCAGATGCGTTTGCTCGCCGCGGAGCGTGCGGGGCAGTATTCGGAGCTGGCGAGGAGCGTCGCCGGGGAGTATACAGCGAAGGCGCAGGAGTTGGTCGGCGGTGCGAGGCAGAGGGGGAATGGGAACGTTGGGGAGAAGAAGCCAGTGGGCGTGAAGGAGGGGGATTTTCCGAGGGCGCCGAGGGAGGAGCCGGTAGTGGTAGAGGGGGTAACGTCGGGGGCGGAGCCGTCGATTCCGGTGGCTAGTTTCTAGGGGTCTACTGTCGATGAGCTGGAATCCACTACGAGGTGGAGTTGAGAACCTGTGAGGAGGTGCCGGTAATAGCAACGCAATCGATCCGCACTGCGGAAAAGCAGGCGGTTTGTGCAAAGTACCGTACCACTAATTGCAGTCTGCAACGATGACGAACGCATGAGCAGGCGGATGATGGACTGGAGAAGACGAATATTGAGTTTCAGTCGTGCTGTCAGCGTTCTTTTTTTCTCTCACGCAACAACCAAAATTGCCAGTATATTTGGAACGCCATCATATTGTTCGAGTGATGCGAAAATGGGTCGGGTCGGATACGGGAACATCATGGACACTACGCGCTTTAACTTGTAAGTACCTTAGTTTAGTTTCTGAGAAGCTGTTTTATTTGACGATGGGTTTCATGGTGTTCGGTGAATTGTAACGACCTTGAAAACAAAGCCATATGACCACGGTAACACTGGGAAGATACTCGCGCCATGTCCTTATTCTCTCCAGGATCTTTGGCTTTACACCTGCGGACGATCAGCCCAGGCAACGAAAGCATAGCATGTAGGAATGAATATGTTGACATGTCCTCTGAAGCGGGAACAAGGCACCATTCTCACCGCCAACTCCGGCAGTATAGTATTCAGAAAACAGTCGCGTGCTTGTGAATTCAAATCCTATATCAACTACCTCTAAAATTCTAGTGACATATCTACATTACCCATCGTTTAAACAGTTTCAATAGGCCCCGCACCCCCTCCAGCCCCCGCTCTATCCACGAACGGTATCAAATCTCCTTTGCACACCGTATCCGGTGGCGGAAGCGTGCCTGAGGCGAGATACGCGGCGTAGTGGTCCGCGGTACACTTCGACGGTGCCCCGCGCGAGGTGTGCTAGAAGCAAAGGTTAGAATATGCCGACATAGTCTGCAGTAGAGCATGGGAGAACTTACACCTGTGCCGTCGACGGTCAGGACACCGGAACCGGCGAATTGCGAGGACATCCGCTGTGCGCTGCGCAGCGGCGTGACGGGGTCGTTCGTGTTCCCGACGAAAAGGATGGGAACGTTGGTGTGGTCGGAGGAGACGGGAACTGGAGCGGTTCGATTAGCTTCGTGCATGTGAGATCACTAGACAATCGCTGGTGCCCTACTGTTCATGACCTGGCTTTCGGGTGGCTGGATGCCAAAACCCCGGCATGGAGTGGTGACGATGGACGCCATCGTGTTCCCGCCGAAGAAGCTCAGATTGACCTGGAACTCGACGTGGCGCTGGTACTCCTCGAATGTAGATAGATTGTAGCGACCGTTCGCATCGATGCACGCGATGTGCGTTCTAGCAAATCCCGGGGTATATGTATCGTCCGTGGTGTTCATCGGGATCCCCAGCGCCACTCTTCCCCCGGCGATGGACAAAGTGGTGGCATTTCGGTGCTCTAATTCATCGAGGACGAGCGCGAGGGCGGGGAAGTTCTGGACGGCATTATACAGGGCGTTGAAAAAGAATGCTTTGAGCTCCGACACTCCCACCAGGAGCGGCGTGGACGACATCAGTGGGTCGGAAATCAGAATTGGATATTCTCGGAGATCATCGAAGATATTGAACACTCGTAGTTCGATGTCCTCCGCGCTGGAAGCGTTGCCGTAGAAGGCGCAGAGTTCTGGCCCGGCTTCATAGCAGGATGTGAAGAAGGTCCTCGCGCTCTGATCGGCGTCTGCAACGGCGGTCGCCCATCCCCCTCCGTAGTAGTCGTCAGCGTCAACGACTCCATCCAAAATCATCCTCCCGATTCGATCCGGAAAGAGCGCTGCGATTGTCGCGCCAAGCACCGTGCCATAACTGCGACCGTAAAACCAGACCTTCGCTTCTTCAGGCGGGTGCCCAAGATTTTTGGCATTCAGCTCCGTGAAGCGGAGCACGTCGTTCGCGACCGCGACAGTATTCGCATATTTTTTCGGCAACTTGGGGTCTTGGACCGCAGTGCATCGCTCACCCCATCCGCGGCTCAGCTCCCAGGCCTGGTACAGTGAACCTCGAGAAGAATCGTCTACCGGCCGATCAAGAACATCTTGGCTGAAACGTAATTTGGCAGCGGGGTTGCCAGGGAAACATTCGAGTTCGATGCCACTTCGATTCACCCCGCGAGGGTCGAAGCCGATTAGATGGTACTGCGAACCCAAACCGTTGTGCGGAAAGGTTTCGGCCCATTCAAGAATCGTGGAAACCCCAGAGCCACCGGGACCGCCTTGGAGTGCATCAGTGGGAGGGGGTAGAAACAAGTCATCCTGTGCTTACCTGGCTGCGCGAAAAGATCGATAGCTGTGGTATTTGATGAAGGCTTTTTGATGAAAGCGACATTGGTAGACCCTATGCTTGGATCTGTATAATCCAGTGGTACCTAGGTTGCCAGTCAGCAGAGCAATAGATAGGGGTGGACTTCTTACCTCGAGCATCGCACAGGTGAAGTTATCAAAACAGGAGGTCCATATTAGTTCCGGAGACGGTTGTATCTCATCAAATCCGTAGACCATTGGTCCATTGTTCCTTTGTTGTAACGGACTGGCTGAAGTGCCGGAAAGCAGTGCGGAGACCGCCAAAGCGGCTATCTCGATGGATCTCATGAGGAGTAAAGTCATAGAATGAAGAAGTTGTAGAATTTGTACACAATGGCTGAGGAGACAGAAGTGTGCTGGACAAGCAATTGACCTGAAAGTACTGAAGATATGACCTTAATATACCCCAGAAATTGAATTGGGAGATGGTGACGATTTTCTTAAAATTAGCAGGATCTCGCTCAGTTTTGCAAGTCAATTCTCAGTTCGGCAAGGATTTGAAGGCTAAGACGTCAAGACAGGCAGTGCGCCAACCTGGTGGGCTCCAGGCCCTGCGGCTGGTGATGAGGATCTGCAGACATTCGGGAAGCCCTCAGCCTTACAATCCTTCCTCCAGTTCTGGAAATGATAGGACGGGAACGATGGATAGTGCGCCAACTCCGCTGCGTCATATAGACTCGGATTTGAAGAGAATGTTGATTTAGAGAAGCTTTTGGACGACAAACCTTGTGGGACAATATCATTGCATCACCATAGAAAAGGGAATTGCAGAAGCTCAAAATATCCATTCATCTACTACCAGAATACATCTTTGAGACGGGAGAAAGACCCATATCTCACTCCCCCGGTTGCGGACTATCGTGTAAAGAGGCAACCGGGGAAAGCGAGCCCGTAATTCCGTTCAAGTTTGTCGTCGACCTCTCATTGTAGCTGCTTGGCTGATGAAGGTCAGATCACCCGATTGATCGATTCCAGCTTGAGAGTATGAACAACGGTATCCACAGCAAGCCTCAGCAATGAGGCCAGTTCGGGAGGGATACATGACGATCTTAATACGTGGGCCAAGTGCGTGTTGTTCTTTTGTGTCAAATATCAAGGCTCATAGGTTATGCAGCATATGTTGGCAGTTTGCATTGTTACATCGCCAAGTTGAGGCATTTCACCGTCGAGGATGTTGAAGGGACGTGGTCGGACGGACAGGTCTGGTTTTGGCATGATGTAATACAGGAACTATTTATAATGCAAAGAGTGGAATCACTTGGCAAACCATACAAGGTGCCAAGCTGGCCTGCTACCAAGAGCGTAGCGTATAACCTAAATGGGCAGGGAATCACTTGGCAGTCTATCCAAGCTGCCAAGCTAACCCATTATCACGAGCGTAGCGAAGAACCTAATTAAATGGGCAAGTCACTTTTGCTGCACGTCGTCTGATTGGTCACTTCCTCTTCCTATCTACTACTAAGTTCAACCCCCTGTCAAGTAGCCAACCACTCGAGTAGCCAGTATCACCACCTCTATCACCATCTCTCTAACCGCGATATCTCCACCACCGTACAATATCATGATACCAAACTCGGAAGACCCGGTCCAACAGGCTATTGATGCCTTACAGACCGGTCAATGCAAATCACAAAACGAAGCTGCGGCGCTATTCAAGGTCAACCGACGCACCCTTCAAACCCGCTTAAAAGGCCGCCTACCACGCGTAGTAGCTCAACAATCTCGCCAACGCCTTACACCGGACCAAGAATCCTTTTTAGTCGACTGGATACTTGAAAATGACGCTCAAGGATTCCCCCCTACTCACGCACGGCTTCGCGAAATGGCATCTCGAGTTCTACGCCTCCAAGGAGACTCAACGCCCCTCGGGAAGAACTGGGTAACGCGTTTCCTACACCGTAATCCACGCGTTGCGACCTGTATCGGGCGTAGTCTTGATGTTGCCCGACGTCAGGCTGCAACTAAGGATACAATCGACGCGTTCTACACGTATTTTCACCAAGTTCAAACTCAGTACGATGTCCACCCCTCTGATACCTGGAATATGGATGAGGTTGGTATAGGACTAGGGATTTGCGCTAATTCTACGGTTATCGCAGACTCGCAGAAGTCAACGGCCTATATCACTAGTCCTATGGGCCGCGAATGGATTAGTATCGTTGAAACTGTCTCCGCGACCGGCCAGTACATCAGACCAGCGATTATACAGAAAGGCGCCACGTTACAGTCTTCTTGGTTCCCTGAACAACCTCCAGACTTCCATTATACGGTATCAGAGAACGGCTGGACTTCAAATCAACACGCGTTGGTTTGGCTCCGTACGGTTTTCCTGCCTGAAACCGCTACACAGCGGCAGTACCGGATTCTGCTAATGGACGGGCACGGTAGCCACGCAACCATCGATTTCTTGTACGAATGCAAGATAAACAACGTAATCGTGGTCTTCCTACCTGCACATACCTCCCATATCCTTCAACCTCTGGATCTCGCCTGTTTTTCGCCTCTAAAACGCTTTTATAAGACCCTCCTCCGCCAAAGCGCGTATATCGACGAGGCCCTACCGATTAAACGACGGAGATTCATTGTCCTCTATGCAGAGGCACGTCAGGCACGCCTAACCGACCGTACAATCAGATCTGGGTGGAAGGCTGCAGGACTTGTGCCGTTTGACCGGTCAAAGGGCCTCAGTAACCGCTTCGTTGTACCGTCACCGCCTACCGTAACCGCACCACCAATTCCACCACCAAACACGCCTCCACGCACCCCCATACCAGTCCCCTCCGTTCTCCAGACGACGCCCTACAAGCCAAAACAGGTACAGAGTGCATTACGCGTTCTTAGCAAGAATACACGCGTGGCAAAGACGACGAAGTCGTATATAGAGAAGGCAGCCAAGGCGATCGGAGTGCTACAGGCGCGTCAGGCCTCATCAGATCTGAAAATCGCGGGCTTACAGGCACGCCTTGATGCTGCTACAGCACCAAAACGTAAAAAGAAAGTTCAGATAGATCTTAATCAGAGGTTTGCGCAAGTTCGGGAGATCAAATTGGCACAAGAAGCTGTACGAGCGGTAGAGGAAGATTACCAACGAAGACATCCAATTTCGGAGGCCAAATCTACATCAGAGTCTCTCCAAGCTGTATCTTTTGAATCATGCTGTATAGATTTCCAAATATAATATGTTTTAGTAGAGATATTGCTGTCTGACCGATGGAGGTTGAGATGGTGATACTGGCTACTCGAGTGGTTGGCTACTTGACAGGGGGTTGAACTTATATCTTATGAGACATCTCTTCCTCTCGCAAATACTTGCTTTTCATGGCATATACTATGCCTTCTGGAAAGGCGGTATACCGCCACCGCCCCGTCCTGGTCAGGCAGGTCTTCATTTTGCGCCGAGTCACTTGTATTGCAAAATTGCAAGAATTGGAGGCTGGATGTGGGGTTTACTCCATAGCGTCGCGGACGGGTCTACTGCAACAACGGTATAGACTTTGATATGCCTATGAAGTATTGCATCATAGGACGGCACGAGCTTCCTACTCCTCGATTTGTCGACGATACTAGTGAAGAGCATGGAATCTGTAATGTGTGTCATATCGCGTTGCCACACAATCTCCTCGCCTTAGTGGTCATGGTGACGACACTCCAGTTATTGGACATGATAGTCCTATTATCGATCAACACCTTCGTGATCCCGCCTTGGCCGGGCTTCCCAACGTCAGGGCCAGGCTGAGAAACGTGATCGCACACACCAACAGAGAGATGACGCTCGCACAGAAGCACTCCAACGCGGTGATGTTCGCTTTGATCACCAGTCCCCGAAATTCAACCTCCAGGATGCAAATCTTTCTGAGCAAGATTGGGCCTACGCCAAGAACTTCCACAAGGAGATGGTCAAATTACGCCTTGGCCACTGCACTCGATGTGACGGAAAATGGTTTGATATGCGTCTCGTGGGCGGTATATGCCATCGATGCAGAATCGACGATAGGAAACGTGGCCATTTATCACCGCTGTATTCCGCAGAGAATCATTTAAATCCTGGTCTGGGCCCGTCGCATTACGATCTTCCTGAGTTATCTCAAGTGGAGGAGCTCCTCATCGCTCATGTCCATTGTGGTGTGGAGGTCCGAAAGGTTAACGGTCTTCAGTACCGCTATACAGGGCATATCATCAACTTCATGAGAGACGTGGGGCGCGTATACAATCGACCACCTCTCCATCCGAAAGTCCTTTAGATCGTTGTCATTCGCCCTGCTAATTGGGATCAGGATCCCCGTATGCAGTGTCAGTTTCGACGGGACTACCGTGTTCGCCGTACTGTCATTGAGCAGTGGCTAACCCATCTCAAGGTTCACCCCCCTAGATATCTGTTGTGAGCAGTGATTAACCCATCTAAAGGTTCACCATCCTGAATATCGCGATGTCGTCGTGGACCCTAGCCGCCTACAGCATCTTCCTATTGATGATGGTATTATGGAAGTGGTCGGCGTCCAGACTATGGAGGAGGAAGTGCTAGGGGGCGGCGATGACGATACAGGAGAAGAGGCAGAATACGTCGCCGTAGTCCCGGATCCCCTTCCAGCCCCATACGGAGATGGAGCGACTTCGGCAGCATGTCGATGACGCTCAGGAACGTCGACCTGAGCATCTGGCGATGCCTGAGTTTAGATTGACTCCTCTATCTGAGTTTAACTACTCTCAGGCTCTTCTAAGCCTGGCGTTCCCAAGCTACTTCCCGTGCGGTGTTGGGGACTTCGTTCATTCCCGTTTCCGGAAAGTAAAGTATCGTGAATATATCAAGCATCTGATGAGGTTTCACGATGGTCGTTTCACGAAGCATCCGCGCCTACGGTATGTCCTGTTCAACACTCTTTCCTGGAAACAGGTTAGCACCCATGCATCTTACTTCGTTCGTCAACGTCCTGAGAAAAGTGATCTCTCTCTTGAGGAGCTCCGTGCTACTTTTGCGGATGACTCCTGAATCCCAGGCCCTGCAGAACTATTGTTCGTTGTTCGGGGAGTCTACGCGCACATGGCCGTATTGGATTGGGCGTGGTAAGCAGCTTGAAGCTACCGTGCGATGATTCCTGTCTCCCGACATATTTTTAACGATGTTGGCCGCCGATTACCACTGGGATGATCTGCAGCGTCATTTACATCAATATGAGGAGTGGCGTACGGAGTAATGGATCTCAATCTTACGCCGTAACCTCCGAGACCATCCCCGTATCGCCGCATTCCTCTTTCATCAGCGCCGCGAGGCTCTATATAAGACTGGGGTAAATCCTAAGTTTAGCCTCCGCGATCAATGGGGCCGATACGAGTGGCAGGGTCGCGGCTCGCCGCACACATTTCCTCTATGGCTGGACTATGCCTGCCCTAACAGCGAGCTTCAAGTTTAATCGTATCCCTAAGGAGGATCTCCCTACCGCCCTTGACAAATTTGCGCGGTTCTGCGGCGGTCGGTATAGAAGGTATCGACAAACAGCCTCAAATTCTCACCATTGAATTACTTGAATGGTCCCGATGACGGCAATGGCACAGGGATCTAATGAAACAAGACTACTGTAAATTACGACAGGTATGGGGGACATTTGGGAGTTAGTATCATTGGTAGCTACGCGCCCGTGTGGTTTCGATTGCCATAGCAGGAAGAGAATCAGAATTAGAACATTCCCTGCAGCTCGCCAATCAGATTTCGAAAGCAGTACGAATGGAAATGCACTATTTCGATATTCGATTAGGTAAAACCTATCGTATTACTATTAGCTAGTACCGAGTATGGATATACCGATACGTTGAGTGAAATATACAATCCTAGTCAATGACCTCAGTGATCTAAAAATATCCTGACCTTGGGGTAATATTCTCCAAGTGTTCATACATGTATAGGATACAAGTAGTTGAGCTCTATGGACCATGGGTACGAGGCGAGTACAGAGTCTAGTACCGCTACGTCATAACTTCGTGTGGCTAACCATGACAGTCGAATCTATCAGCTTCACTTTACATTTGCGCCTCATGCTATTATGCTCGCTCCTTGTCATTATTAGAATCATCACATATTAGTGTGCCCTGTCTAAGAACCCACAGATGCCGTAATACTTCATTTACCATGTAAAGGCCATTGCCAGGAGGCTGAGAGTACAGCAACATCAGTCTGGTCCGGTCCCTGAGGACTGTCAGGTCAGCAGGAGATGACGGGGATTTGTTCTCTTCTGAGCCACGTCCCCCGCTACGCTTTCCCTCCTGATCTTCCCTTCTGTCGTGAAAACCGTTAAGATTGAGACTGTTGTGACTTCATGTCTGAGTGCCTATCCTCGCCATCGGGGGCGTCTACATCGGGTTGTTTTAATGATTGTGCTTGAATTCCGAAATTCGATCCCTGTCAAAATCGCCCTCCAGTTCGTATCTCCTGCTCCACATATTCTTCCACTGCCTAGCACTTAAAATAGGTTGTCTGGATAGCTAGCCTTGTTGCGCAAGAGGAATAAAGAGGCCAGATGACCATACGAAGTCGACCAAATCTCGATGTACTAATCAATACGGATATACTGGGCTCTCCGCCTTCGGCGTTCCCCTTTATCTCCGACAATAATTGGAAGAGGAAGACGTCGATCGGGAAATGCAGTAGAATGAGAGAAATGATAGTTGCACGGCTCCCGTGTCTTAGTGCTCAGGGAACGGCACATTATCCCGTGAAGATTTGCCGAATTTTCCTCGAGTTGCTTTAAGCCCGTCTTTCAACCACAGATCTAGACCCTTTCAATCGACTTGGGCCGCCGTATCAATCAGTGCTGCGATCTAGGGTTCCTACCCCCCTAGCCCGTCGCCACACGGGGGTTAGCAGTTCCATGAAACTCCGAATGCTGCATGCGGCCACATGCGCGCTGATCCCTAAAACGTTCTTAGGTGATGGTGAAGAAATGATTTCTCTACTAGATACGGAAAGGATATAGGCGAAAATAGGGTACAGGGAGATAGGCCGGATTTTGCTGGGATCAGGGGCTTTTGGTAGGATTTTCGCTTATTGAACAGCTTACCTCTTACAAACCTGTATGGTAGAGTTCTCCTGTAGACTTCCCTCTGCAGTCAGTGATCTGTAGTCACCCGCCTTATAGCTTCCCGTATCAACCCACTACCGATGCCAGTGAGCTGTCCTTGCTTGGCATCCCCTTCTGGTAACCCTGGGCTTGCATGACAATACAGTGAGCTTCACAATCAAGACGAAGGCATCATCGTCTGAATAGTGCCCGCGTGTACCCGTTCTTCGGCAACGATTACTCATAGCTCCGATAAGCAAACTAATGAGGGTAGGTTGAAAAGTGGCCTCTGAAGGGCAGTGACTAGAACTGAGAACCGAAAGAGGTCTAAAGAAGCATTCAGCTAGATAAGATGCCGCCCGGGCTTGGTGGTTCCAAGTCTATCTGAAGTAGCTTGAATCCTAGATTCATAGCAGAAACACGCTATCATAAGCCCGGCCACGGGAACAGTGGCAAAATAGACGTGGAGTGGAGGACCGTAAAATCGCGCTCGGCTGGAGGGATTAATATATTTAGCATGGCGCCGTCGCCATTTCCAACCACCTGGTTGGCACAGTTCAGGTAATATTTCTTTAACGGCAAGGCTAAGATCCATAATGCATCTGCCAACCAAACCGTTAGGATGTATAAAACCAACGTGCCCGTCAAAGAGCGTTCAAAAGATATATTAATTCGGATACAAGGGAGTATTCGAGGTACAATCAAGTACATCCCGGTGCCAGGAATCACTAGACGGAGGCGCCCACGAATAGATATACCTGGTACCGTATGCGACAGTCCGCAGTACTATCTGGCGAGCTAACGGGAAGTCAAGCCGACAGGCGGATTATACAGCTAGTGGGTACATGTTCTCAGGCCACGCTATCCTCTCCACAGTACGGAGTGGTGAAAATTCAGTCGATCGTGCATAAACGTCCCTATGAACACCAGGGAACGTATAATATAGGTAATATAGGCATGCTTGGGCCCGTTCTATCCAGTCGGAGCTTTTACGATTCCACAGACCTGAGACTGGTGAGAACAGCTGCAGCGGTAATATAAATTAGCCTGCTACGGCAGCATGGCGGACTAGGATTCCAGCTCTAAATCCCAACGCGCTGCGTCAAGTCTTCCCTTCGTCCCAGCACAGGTTGCAAGCATCTCGACCGGCTGTACGGCCGTACACACAGAAGCTGACGCATCTCGGTGAGCCCGAGGTAGGACTGGAGCTCTGGAACTTGCAGTGGCCAAACTAAGGTAACCGATGTAAGCGCTTTTTGTTTAACTAGCGGAAGCCAGGTTTGCTTCTTCACTTGTCCGTATACACTGGAAGCGACCACAACGACGGGAATACTGACACTATATTCCAGGCCGTCCATCTTCAGTCAATACTGACACTTTCAGTGAAGTAAGCTTCTTTTCTTAATTGCGCTGCCACTCACTGTCAAACCTGTGAGACGCGCCACCATCGTTAAATGCACTCCGCGGAGCTGAACGCCTCAACGCCAACCTCGTGTCCGATATGAAGGCACCGCGCAGCGCGCATGTATTTGATCTATCTAAAGAGTTTCCGCCAACCTGGCTAATCATCGTAATTGGATGAAGTTAATCTATCTGAAAGGTTCCGCCAACTAGCCCCCGCATCACTATCATGGGGTGGGAGGCCAGGATACGTCTGTGGCGTCCTCCTCAACGCCACCATTCCCCTTAGGCCGCCAAGAGCCTTCTGTTCTTCGAGCCGCGTCGAGGTTTCGCGGGACATTCGGTAGAATCCGCTACTGCTACTGCTCTCAATGCACATATTGTTTCCGTCCCCAAAGCTCAACTGAAACACCACACAAGCCGTTTTCTATTCGATTCCTGATGTCCGCTCTCAGATGCCGCCGTTGAATCTTGCGAAGCACCGTGGGGAACGGCCTCGGTGAGATTCCGCCCTTCCTTTAGGATCACGGTGATTTCTGAGGCTTCGGGACAAGCGGCATCCATGACCGAGACTCCGTTCGCTCCCCATGATTTTTGAGGTCAGTATGATATGCTGCTACCCATCACTCAAATCAAAACGGTGGTTGAGTATAGACTTTTGCGCCCGTGTTCAAGGTCATGGTACGACTTATGAGTAACGAGATATACAATCGATGTGCCGTGGCCAACAAATGGCCTTCTCGGTCGCGAACGGCGGGTAGGTGATGTCTTGGCAACATTGAAACTCAACCGGCAGCGGTGCAGGACCAGGCGTCCGGTTACGGTACCCGGTCGGGCACTTTTGGAATCCAGGATCTCTCGTCGTGATAGAATGCGAATGAAGCCATACATCACGTTGAGGCATTTCGAACATGCGTTCTAGCATAGTAAGCTACTGTACATCAATATGACCATGAAACAGTTTCGAACACGGACACTAATCAAGCGGGATAACGCAAGCTGCTTGCTAACAACAGTACAACTGGAATACCGGCCCGTGTCGCGACACCAGGAACATCCTTGATGTCGATGAACGTCGACCGAATTATCTTTTGACGTCTTCCAAACGTGTTGCCGCAAAGAAATGCGAGCTGCATTCGGCGATGCAGTTCGTATTCATCGGACGGTCTACCGTTGGATCCACCGTCGTCGCCATCACTATTGGCACTCCACAATATCGTACTTCCACCTGTGCCGGATCGTCGTTGCTGACTTCACCTCAGTTCTGTAGGGCTGACGGGACGCTGACGAATCCGGTGGATTACATTCTGCCCCGCGTTTTTTACAGCCACTTCGATAGACTGCTTCTATTTTCATTCATTCTTCTGGGCCTCGTCGATCACCGATTTGTATTGAGCCACTAACGAGTCAAAAGTTCATGAGCTTCTTGGTTGCCAGCCGTATACCGGGTTTCGGGCGGCATTTAGAACGAACGGGGGGGATTTCCAGTATACCGGAATGCGGCTCGATATGCTTGCTACTTTTAGAACCGGGTCCCTGGAGTATCGGAGCTTTTCATGGTCCGCCAGTTGACCACCGATGACGGGCGAAAGAATATCAATATTTCCCTAGGATCACCGCCGAACAACCCCATGATTCACCAAACAAGGCTTCCGGCGATGCGATTGGCGAAGCCACTTCGTACTCCAAGGCGTACACTGCCTGGAACAGACAAAGCACACGTGGTATCTAGGCGTCACCTGGTCCTTGAATTCCAGATTTAGGGTCGAGCTGGAATTCCCTGCACCGCCTGCCGAAATTCCACGCTGGTCGGTCTGGCAAAAACGAAGCTGCATTGGACATGTTTCGCAAACGGACCGGAAACTCCGTGTTCTCCAGGCTCGTATCAATGCCCAAAACCGAAAACGAACCTCTTCAGGACTTGATACCAGTATCAGGTATACTGATATCGCCAGCTCCTGCAGTGGCCGATGGCGGTAGAGCGAAAAACAAGGACGACGGCTCATTAGCTTGGCTTCTGATATGTACGATTACGTTGCTCATCATGCTATCCTGGGCCGTGCGGTCTGACGGTCCCGCAAATGCCCACAGGTATCCTGATTCTCATTCTGCTCTACTAGGTTCCATGAGTCTATGTCGTTTGTTAAAAAAAAGTACATCTATGCGGTCCATGCGGAGTAATCTATTTGCCTCCCGTTATCTCAAGTTTAATGCTTCCGTATTCGTCTTCAGCTGCGCATGGTCTTGTTCGTAGTCAGATTCTTCGGCGTCTATATCAGTCAACTCAGTCGATGGAGCAGCTTTCCTCCGACTTTTCCCTGTCAACATCCCCTCACCCACCCGAAATCCGAGGAAAGCGGATCTACAGTCCCTTGCTTCCCCCACATCGGGGACATGGAATCAGATGCAGGGAGAAAGTCTACTGGAAAGCAAGGTGCGGATCGACGGGATAAATCCCGAAATGAGTAAGTCCTGTGATGGGTACTGTCACTATCTTAGAAATGCTTTCGAGCTTTTAAAGTCCATTGCTCGTGTATATAAGTCCGGTTCATCTACTGGTTGTCAATGGAATCACTACCATCTCAATCGTTTAGAGACCTTCGTTTGACAGTTAAGATTCTTAGAAGACTCAGTCATCATGAGTCCGATTTCGCAGTTCGTCCCGGCTCTTCTTGCCTTCGCCGGCCTGATTCAAGGGGCTACCATTCCTTTTAGCCGCGCCGCCTCCAGTAACCTGGAACCAAGACAGGCATGCGAGAATGGACCAGACAGCAGAAACTGCTGGACGGATGGGTTTGACATCAATACGAACCCCCATGAATCGTGGCCATCCACAGGCCAAACGGAAACGGTACTTTGATTCACTTGAACACGCCTGGAATACCAACTTATAGATATCCTTAGTTTAATTTGCGTCTTACGAATACGACATGCAATCCTGATGGCCATGGAGAGAAGTGGTGCACATTGATTAATGGCCAATACCCGGGACCAACCATTAGAGCAAGTATGTTGAGACTGTAGACGCAACAAAGTTTATCCGCTAACGTTTCGCAGATTGGGGTGATAATATCCGAATCATTGTTCACAACGATGTCATGGACAATGGAACATCGATCCATTGGCATGGTCTCCGGCAATTGAATAGCAATAAGCAGGATGGAACCAATGGTGTCACGGAATGTAAGAATGAGCCATTTGCCTGCAGCTCCAGAACTTGACTGATACTGTTCCAGGTCCCCTTGCCCCCGGGACGACTAGGACATACGAGTTCAAAGCCACCCAACACGGCACAACCTGGTATCATAGCCACCATTCCGCTCAATACGGCGAGGGGGTCGTAGGTACCATTATCATTGACGGGCCGGCGAACACCAATTATAACACAGGTAACGCCGAAATAGGACAGGCATCGCGAATTGACTGACGCTGACGATGATTTCAGATCTTGGGGTGCTTCCGCTCTCAGACTGGTACTACGATCAGACGTGGATGCTTCTATGGCGAGCGCTGTACGGTGGAGGTTTACCTCCGCCCAGTGACACAGTTTTGGTCAATGGCACGATGATCGATGGGAATGGGAACGGCCAGTACCAGAAGATCAATGTCGTGAAGGGGCAGCGATACCGACTCCGATTCGTGAATACGGCGGTTGATCATCTCTTCCATGTGTCAATGGTACGTCCGAAACTGCTTTCCTTATTGGAATGAGATGACCCTTTAACACGATACCAGGACGGCCATCCGTTCACAGTCATTGAGGCTGATTACGTTCCGGTGGTTCCATACGAAACCACCGATCTGAAGATCAACATTGGTTAGTTTCTTCCCAAACGATTGCATCCTAATTCTGACTCTCCTTTTAGGTCAGCGTTACGATGTCGTCTTTACCGCGGACCAGGACGGTCCCGCCTCCAACTACTGGCTCCGTGTTCAACCTGGCAGCGCTCTCTGTGGCAAGGCGGACATCTACAACAATGCCGATGTGACGGTGGGCGCCATCCTGAGCTACGAGGGCGCGCCGGACGAGAATCCGACCTCGACGGGTAGTACGATGACGGATACCTGCGATGATGAGACCTTCAAGCCCTTCCTGCCGCTTCCGGTGAGTGCTCTGATGTTTCGGATTTCAGCCTGGTGTCTAATCGTAATCCATACATAGGTACCGTCCGACACCTTCCTGGAGCAAGTGACGCCCCTGGATATTACTTTAGGGAGCGGAGCCGAAAATATTGTGAACTGGTACATCAATGGGAGCTCCATGGACGTCAACTGGGAGGAGCCAACGATTTCCTACGTCAAGAATGGAACGCCGTATGATACTCGGATGAGCGTAGTTGAGATGCCAGAGAAAGACACGGTACGTACACAGTCCCGGTGAACGAATCATCCCATCCCATACACAACGAAATTGAGAAACCCATCCGATGGGAAAACAACTCGCATGCTCAAGGAATCCATCTAACGATATCAGTGGTACTTCTGGGTCATCCGCAATGACCCCACACGCCCGCTCCCTCATCCCATTCATTTGCACGGCCACGACTTCTGGCTTCTCGGGAGTGGAGTCGGAGCCTTCCCCTACACCCTGGACTCGTTCAACTTCAAGGACGCCGTGCGACGCGATGTTGCCACTCTCCCAGGAAGCCCCGATGGAGCCTGGATGCTTCTGGCATTCCAGTCCGATAACCCAGGCGCATGGCTGATGCATTGCCATATTGTAAGACACACCGTCCCCCTCGCACGCATTCAGAACAATCGGAACAGCTAGAACCACTCGTTGAGCACGCCGACGCTAACTTTTCTTGCAGGCATGGCACGCATCCCAAGGCTTGAGCATGCAGTTTGTGGAGCGCAAGGACGAGATCCTTAGCACCATTGGCAACTTGGACGATTACAATCAGGGTTGCATTGAGTGGAAGAGGTATTGGAATAGTCCGGATCGCGTCGGCGTGGACGAGGATTCGGGTCTCTTTGCGCCAGGGAAGCTGCTGCCCGACGCTATCTCAGGCCCGGGAGCCGGTGTGTAAGGTGATGTTGCTTGGGTTGATGACGATCATGATGATGGCGATGAGGAGGAGGATGAGTTCTTACAGCTTACAGTCCGGTATTGTAGGCAATCTCCTTGTATCTAGCCTCCCTTTCCCCTTGACACGTTTTGAAGTTCTACCTTCTCTCCGAAAAAACATCTTCTCACGGTATATATTAGAGAGTGCTTTTGTCTTCCTCTTCTGAAATACAATATGGATATCAGTAGATGACAGAGTACAGCTGTTCCGTTGATCAGGTGATCTGGAGATGCGACTTCAGCAGGATAGCACTTGATTACCAAGAATTGAAAGTGTTGATTGATCTTGATCCTTAATGAGCGTACAAACTACGGGAATACGCTCATCTTATATGTTCTGTATACAATTGATGGTCGTGGGGACCTTGGTTTCCTCAAAACGAGCGAAGAAGCAAAGAAAGAAGCATTGGTGATATCGTGGGGTGTGGGATGCTCCTCCACGTGGGAACCACGGGGGAACCACGGGGGAACCATGGGGGCTAGACCACCTAAATACGACTGAGAAATGGGGGCGCGGTCTGGAGACCGGCGGGTCCCGAAAAATAAGAGATATCCTGAAAGCCTGATCTCTGACAGTAGATCTTTCCACAATCCAACTTTCTCATAAATTTTAGTCTTAGTGAACGTGACCTTTAACAGCTGGAGCACAGCTGCACAGTTCGAATCTCTTTTTCCCACGGCTACTTTACCTAAGTAAGCATTCTACCGGTCTCATGGAATATGCAGATTGCAGAGGCAAATATTTCCAGTCTGTTTCAACTCTGAAACCATGTCATTGTTGGATCGAAACGTGTCTTATTAAGAAACTAATTATACAAATGAGAGTTTAAATACAAAGAATGACTAATCACGTGCTGCCTCAATGCCTCATAACCGATGCTCTCCCGGTCCAGGTCTAACATCATGGCGATACAAAGATCACGTGGCTCCCTTTGGGCGTCGTCACCACCCTGATTCATCACCCAATTGGGGATAGTGACATCTGGGATATCAATACCTTCAGGGGTTGGATGCGGCGTTCCAAACACAGCATAGCCTCACTCCATCGAATTCCTCGTCAGCTCTCATTAACGATCGAGACTCCGAGTGGCAACGGGATCTGGGATTCCGCTCCTTCAAGGCGCCAGCGTAAAAAGACAGCCTCGCCCACCAAGCCATCAACCTCGTCCATCTCCTTTCTATCCCATACATATTAGCCTTTCCTTCCGTTTTTCATTCCAACATCACGATCTTTCATCTCCCATTATCATTTCTTACCCATTTGATTTAATTTCTTTGATTGGTTTTCTCATTGTAGTTCCGTTATCGTCAAATCTAGGCAACATGCTGGTCGCACGCGCCATCAGCCATGCTGTCAAGCGTGGAGTTCACACGGATCCAAGGCTCTTTGATATCGATGCGGAGGCCATGATCGCGTGGAAGCAGTTCGATCCTACGCTTCCTTGGTGGGGTGGTTCGCTCCTGTGGTCGACTGTGTTCGCATTTATATTCATGCTCTATACCGTACGCCTCTTCCCCATTGTCAACATCAAAATATCAAGATCATCCGGCCATACTAACTACCCTCCCAGATCCACTATAGCGTCGGCCATGTCATGTCCACCTGCGCCATGATCGAGTCCTCCAAGCCAACCACCATTTTCCGCATCTCCCTCGTCGAAAAAGAAAAAGAACCCTCCTCCGACGACCACCCCGACGACCCCCTCTTCGTCGACGAATCCACAACCATCCCCGCCATCCCCCTCACTCGCCACATCCGCACCTTCCGCACCCACCTCCGCTCCCTCGCCGGTCCCCTCTCCAGCTATCGCGCGCTGCACTATGGCGCTCTCTACCTCGTCGCCTTTGGGTCCCTGCACTACTTCCTCGCGGCGCTCCTCCGCTTCCCCGTCGGCAACTACATCGCCGTCGCTATCGCCTCTGCCGCCGTTGCGCCTCTCCACGCTGCCTGGACCCACGCCACAATCGCCATGCCGTCCGACAAACGCATGGGCAGCCGGCTCGCGCACGCGCGTCGTGGATGGAAGGCGATCTCTCTCACCGCTGCGATGTGGGGCATCACAAATGAGGTGGTGATTAGCATGGCGCGGATGGCCGCAGAGATGGTCGCGTTGGACCGAAATCCCGATATGAACATCCTAGTGCTCACGACGTGCATGTCGGTTTTTTCGGTGCTGTACTACTTGTTTATCACGGTGCGGATGGAGATTTTATTGGTGAGGCTAGAGGCGGCTTATTTCCCTATTGACGAGGAGACAATCGTGCCGATGGATGGGAGTATTTGTGAGCTGATGGTCGTGGAAGAGACAAAGTATCGCGTGAATCCGGTGGCGATGAAGAAAGAGTCGAGGGGGCTCACGAGCCCGTTTAAGCGTGTCTTGTTGATCATCGGGAAGTTGATGGTCATCGATACCGCGATGATCCTGGCCTTGGTGAATATCTTGCTGCTAGAGCTGTACCTGTGCTGGGGAGAGCAGTTGGTGATGGTGTTCAGAGCTTTCAAGGCGAGCTATCAGCTTTATCTGAAGAAGGCGGCTGAGCAGGGGGCTGCGCAGGCGGAGATTGGGATTGATTTCCTCGACCTGGATGAGTAGTGGAATGGAGAATAGCGACGACGGAGGTTGAGGGCGAGGATGAGAGTGGGTAGGAGAAGAAGTCAGATGAGTGAGCCGTCAAACTGGTAAATTCCGTCCATATTAGGCGTTCGACAGCTCCGATCATGCCTCGGACGATTGGCGTTGATGCTCCGGTGTACAGAAGTATTTCGCAAGCTGCTGAGCGGGATTTGTAGCGCTTAGTGGTCAGAGTTGGACTGTTGACTTCGTTTCCGTGTCTACGTTTCCTAGGTCTGGTAAAACAATTCAATGAGTCCGTCCACCGTATCTGTTCAGTCGTTCGTAAAGTTTCCAGTAGTGTTGCCTGAATCCACAGCGAGGTGTTTATACGTTCCGCCAGAGGATCACGATTTTCGTCGAGGAGCCCTGTTCAAGAACAGTCATTGTCTAGTTAGCGAACAGCATCGGACGGATTATATCCAGGGATGCAGTGATTTCTGATTACATAACCCCTATATCCAAATTCGTGAAGGATTTCCGGGCGTACTCTTCAGGAAGGGTGTGGAAACCGCTCATTTGCTAGGAATGCTCTTGTGGAATGGGATAAATAAGAGCATGTTGGTAGGCATCACACTGATATGGGCCACAATATCGGACCCTGATCAAACAAGTTGACTCTGGTAGTACTTATCTACATGAAGTGCTATTGATCGAGTCTACATTTCCAATTATCTACCGCAATGGCGACAGAGTCCACATGTTGAATCGGTGGACCCAAGGTGAGCCACCCTTCCTGACTTGATATTAATGTGCAAAAACTTGAGGTGATGTGGCAATGTCCGCCACTCAGGATGGGTCGGATGATCAACGGCATCGCGGATTGAAAGAGGTTGGCTAAGGGGAAGAATCCAGGTCTATCTGTCGCAGAGGCACGAGATTCCAGTGATCCTTGAAGTGAACCGCCGAAATAACTGAACCGTAGTGCCCAAGAGCCATGTAGGGCTATATGGCGTACCTCGAACCTATGGGATCCTTTGTAATTATGCAGCCGGACGTATCGGGAATCGAATGCTATCAAGTAAAAATAACAAGTCCTACACTCCCAACTGAGGGGTTCCCCTTTTGGCGTAGTGGACTTGCAACAAATGCCAACAGTTTCTCGAGAACACCATAAATCTCATCGTCGGAAATACAGGGACCAAGATCAAGTGAACTATAATGTATCCTTGGTAATCCATCATCGCTTGCCTGCGAATCATGTTCGCTCGGTGGTGCACCCGATATGTCTCGTAGCGCCACGCCCTTCGTATTAGATGATGATAGAGGACTACCTAAGCAATATGTTCCCGTAGGCAGCAGTTTTGAGTAGAGACAAAGGAGATCGATATTGTCCTCGAGGCATTTTAACCAATATATCTCGACCACTTGTTAACTCCCCCGCTTCTCCTTGGGGACGTCAGTCGACGAGTCATCCCCTTTCTCCCTTGGGAACTGATTCTTTTTATCCTTATCCTTTTCTATACCTTTTTCAGGGATTTTTGTTCAAGCTGGACCGGGCCACTTGAGCTATTTTGGATGGAGTCATTTGGAGAAAACGGAAATCGGAATAGGTTGACCCTGCACTATCCCTAACAGCCACTGTTGGTATCTCTATCCTTAACCTGGCTATTCATTTCGACACAAAAATAGAAGGCAGGAAGCTATGTGAACCAGAGTTTGTTTCAGAGGTTGTGATAGATATTGCCCTAATATTTCATACAATTTTCTGAGCTCTTACTCCCTCAGCACAATGTCCCCCCGAAAGTGCCGACTCCGCTCCACAGCCACACTCTTCTGAAATCTCATCCTATTAAGTAAGAAACACTCTGCACTGCACCAAAGAATCTGTAGGAGACCTGATGCTGAGCTAATTTCTCTGCACACCATTTTAATCTAACAAGAGGGAAAGGCTGTCCACGTCCTCGATACAAGTGAGATCAGACTCACTAGCAACGGACGATTTTGGATTCGTCATTCATGAGGAGGCTGCGGATTCGTGAAAATTTCAACTTTCCCATCTGGAAAATGCGAAGGGTGTGATGATGTGGGTCGCGAGCGAAACGTCCACTGCCCCGGTTTCTGGATGACGGCTCAGTGAAGACAGTCGGTTTCCATGCTTTTCGGCCCACTCCGTAGTCTCTACTGTGTTCTGGCTATCAGAGAAGTTTACTGCTTCTCTGACCTCCTTTCTGTTGTGGAGTGTTCGGAACGAGACAGCAATGCAAAATATTCAAAAATTTAACATGGATGAGCAGGTAATGGATTACCTCCATGATCACTAGGAGAGCCATGACTCCCTACGGTGCTATCCTAGGATTCCAGATCAAACAGTCTTTGTCTACATGTTCAATTGCTGGCACGATGGACCAAAAAGATGTATCGTATGAGCAATAAACCCTCTTGCAGGCAGTCTTATTCAATGAATGACTACTTATGCCACCGAAGTGGCGTTCTAAAGAGTTAAGATATACATAGACTGACGATGGTATACGCGGCTGAATTCTTGCTTATTATGCCAGACAATTGGTTCGATATTTGTATACAGTTAATCCTTCTAGAAAGGGGGGAGAACTGGCGAAACGGAATTCTGCAACGCGAAATATTCCGAGGCGATGGACAGCGATAGTACGGTGGCATGCAGTTGGGGCGATACTTATGCCATCGCAGAACCTCCGTTTGCGTGGCCAGTTGATGATGGAATGAGATTGGCGCTGACGAACTGTGACTCAACAAATTGACACAATCGGAAGAATGATTGGAAGAGCAAGTTTGCATTCAATGAGACGTTAAAGAAACCTATAAAACGCCTTTAAACGTGCCTATGACCGACCAAAACATTCACACAAACGGGATTTCCCCATCTAAGGGGACTGCCCCTTTCCCTCGGGACCCACCATTAACCAACAAACGCCACTAACCAACGCCCTTCTGCCCAGTCATGACGATATCCTTCCAAATCGAAATCCAATCACTAATCCAGTGAATCTCTTCTCACGCCGTCTCCATCCCCTCCATCACCTCCACCGCCCTCCCCGCTTCCTTCTCAAAGACCCCCACCAATCGCTCACACTCCCACCTTAACTTCTCCTCCCCCCTCGCCGCATTCCACACCACCCACTCCTCCACCGTCATCCCCTTCTCCTCCTCGCTCAACCCCTTTCTTACCCGCCGCAACACCTGCCCCATGCTCGGCCGATTCTCCTTGTTGCGCTCGTCGCCGCTGCTGCCGGGCGCAGGGGAAACGCTGGTGAGGTTCCGGAGGTGCGGGGGGAGGGTAGATTTGGTGGTGGGAGAGGGGAGAAAGAGGGTTTCGAGGTCGGAGGGATGCCAGGCGGGTTTGGGGGGGGAGGCGGTGGTGGGGGTGGCG